TATTTTTGTGCAAATTTTTAGCAGTATACAAAAAATCTGACATGAAGTTTGAGCGAAAAGTGAAGCAATTTTTTTTCTTGTTATCGGCGAGCAGATATTGTGATGTGTATCAAATGAAGATAAAACAAATTGATATTTTGAATATTGGCATCAATGTGCACCTACAATTCCATTATCTGACATGAAGCTTGTATTTATAGTACTTTGTTCAACAGCTCTTGATCTAGAACGAATATGCGGTTGACTAATTACCTAATTAAAAAAAAACTTGAAACAGCTTCTCTCACCTAATTCAAAACGAAAGCTTAAATAAACAGTTTCAACCGAACTTATGATGAAGATGTTTGGCTCAAAAATCAGCTCAAAATTTAATCACTTCTTTGAACGTTAAGAAAACTGTCGATTTCTCTGTAAACTAGTTCAAAGATATTTCCACTGACTATACAATGCTTACGAACACAGAAAAAAATGGCGCAACACATGGGCGCTTCGCAAAAAGTCTAAATGAAAACTAAAATCGAAAACAACTTGGTTCATTGTTTTAGTAAAAAAAAATGTTGCGTCGATAATGACTCAACTGTATGCAAGTGTTGAAATAGCGAGTATCACACAGATCGGTATGTGACATTTGATCGATGGTCAATCCTATGTGACTGTCTCATTAACTGTGAGTCATTTCGGAATTAAAATTGACACATGCAAAGTTCCGAGTAAAAAATCGTATTGTGGCTTGATGTGGGCTTTTAAAAGAGCAACTAAATGTAATGGAATTCATTTATTTTTGTTCTGCTTAAATGATTGTATTATTTGGAATTTCCAGGCAACGTTGTACATTTTTCTATGTGAGCTTAATTCATATAGACAATCATAGCAAGAAATTTATGGTTTTCAATAAAACCCATTTTATCAAACCCAAACGTGTGCTTGCGCTACATTTCGGTCGATTAAGATTCGATCATTTTTGGGCGATAGTTTCAAATTGTCCGTTATAAATAAGCGATGTCCTCGTTCGAATTCCCTTGTCCTTGTAGGAATTATCGATGCGCTCTCACCATTTTCGTGGGGCATTATGAATATATCAGCGCTCCGATGGCTACGATTTCAATGATGAATTCCTGTATTTTCATTTAATGTTCTACTCGATTGATAACGTATAGTTTTGTGATTGTTCCAACATACTTAATGGCAATGGTGGTCTTGAATTTTTTATGAGTCTGTATGTTCGTGCTGGATGGAAAAAAATGAATTCGATGAAGAAAAAAATGGCTAAGCATGGACATCTCCAATGCATTAGTAGACAGGTGAATAAACACATAAGTAAATGTATGCACTTCCCGAAACCAAACACAAAAGGACCAAGCAAATTGAATGGTTATTTTGAGCCCGTTGAAATCATTGAAAAAAATCCTTCGACATTATGTGTCGTGTTTTAGATTAGAAAAATCGACCGATGTCAATCGGAGCATTATGGCATAATCACGTAATGGTTTGTCTCTAAATGGGTGCTATGCGTTGTCATGCAGTCGGTAAATCGCTAATATTTCCTAATTATCATATTTGAAGCTAGTATACAATATCGTCGAATGGGCGCCCGTTTGTGCGTTTCCAACGGACAATGGAAATTTCGTTGTGGAAATGTTTGTTATGAAGGAAATTTGTTTGTTTGCCCGGTTGACACGTTGCGTAATTCAGTTTCCAATTTCAATTATGTATTATCATGCACAAGTTAATTTTTGTTGGCGAATAACGAAAGCCATAAAGTTGTTGGGCGTCGACGGGTTCCGCCTTTCTAATTCACCCAGCGGATTTCTCTCTCTCTCTCTCTCTCTCTCTCTCTCTCTCTCTCTCTCTCTTGTAATTATTGTCATTTCAGTCCCTTTATGAGCTCATGAAATACAATGAATGAATACTGGCTTTTTTTCTTCAAAAACTAGCCCAACACTTTATCGACTCAAACTCGTTCGCTTTTTTGAAAAGAATTTAGGTCGATTTTCGGGGAAATATAAAATTTTTTACAATCACTGTTCATACTTTCCATCAAATGAAACGAAAAGCAATTCGAACATCATAAATCCATTCATAACACGAAATGCGTCAAACTGAATAATTTTAATGGAATTTACGGTTATAAGACGAACTATTCCTATGTCGTACTATATTGCCGCCCAGGAAATAACTTTCATTTAAAGAACATTTTAACCGACATAACCAAATTGTTTGCTGTCAAACTTTGTCTCGCTCACGCCAACTGTCACACTGACTCGTTTGTGTACGAATTGCTGTTAGCGTAAAAGAGACGTTGTTCGCAGTGAACTCAGTTTAGATGTTCTTTCCCGATATTGAATACTCGGTAACGGTGATGCATACACAATGCACACGGACGAAAATTCCAACTCATTCTTCGCTTTAAATTAGGAAAATCGTATTGCATTCAGTGATCTCAATCTCACTTCGATTCACTAAATGGACATTTCAATGTGAAGTATCTCGAATCAAGGTAAGTGTACAAAATTAAAACAAAAGGAATCAATAGGCGTCAAACGAACCAAAAATCGATTCCATTCCGACATCGAAATGGGACATGAATAATTTCCCACGCACATAAACACGCCAGTTTTTGTTCATTCGCTTGTCTTCGGGAATTCTTTTATTTTAGCGAAGATAAAATACCGTTCAGGCTCAAAAATTTTCTTGTAGCAATCACGTAGTTTTGAATTATTCAGCAAATCACAATACTTGTATGTGTGAGAAAAGTTCATAAAATACGCAAATTAACGACCATGGCCAATCCAAGCCATAAATAATTTGCGAATATTGTTGGTTTATATTCACGTGAGTCATGTGCTAATCAACTGTTTCAATCAAAGACATGCCTTTTCTTTTCTCTACAATCACGCTTTGCAATTTATAAGACCGACGAGATGATAAAATATATGCTTAATATTGAATAGAATAAAAATAGACGATTTATCACTTGCAGTTACCTGAAAATAGATCCCAATGTTAACAAACAAAAACAGCTAGGCTTTTGCTGTGTACCAAAAAAATAAAAAGAGAAAAAAAAACGAATAAAATTGAGAAGAAAAAAAGATAAAAATGCCACGAAAAATGTTTTAAAAGTATGAAGAAGCAAACAATTGATATGATTGTGTCACCTGAATTTATTGTTGAATGCTCAAATATTTGCCTTTTAAACTTGAATAATTCACAACTTGTCTAGCCACTCAAACACACACACACACACACACACACGGAATTTAGAGCTCGACCACTTTGCGTCTAGTGTGTTTGCAACCGTCAAAGAATCACAACCAACTGAAAATCTGCCGTTGTTTTAAATGCGACGCAGTCGATGGAAAGCATATCATCAGTTGGTTTCCGATTTGTCACATCTACCACTCGTCGACGAATACATACGCACATGTGTACTGTGGACAACTGCAGGGGCAAAGAGAGCGAGTGAAAGCGTCATATTTTATGAGGGAAATCACATATGACTCAAAACTCCTTACGGCTCCGTTCACCATACACATTCATTTATCGTTATATTTCACCAGAAATTTTTGCTTATCTGAATATTTAACACATTCTCACCGAAAAACTGTGTCGTATTTGTTCATTTGGCTGCTCTATTTTCGGTTCGATTCTTTCTTTTTAATAAATCAAGTATGTTTTTAGAATATTCATTTTTATTCCATTTAATTAATTTAAGTATTTGACAATCGATTATTTTTTCCCTTTGCCACCTTTTTTGCCTTTCCCTTTCTTTTTTGCTTTTCGCTGAGCCAACAGACGTCGGTAATTCCGTTGTATAATTCGAGCTACACGATTCATCATAAATAACAGAATACGCTGTTCGCGTCTCTTCTCCTCTTCAGCCTCTTTGTCGGCTTGAATTCTATTATATAAAACTTCTTGCGTTTTGTACTTTTCCTTCCAATCATCCAACGTTTTAGCTTCTTGCATTAGACTCTTCTTACACTCCCGAAACTTCTGGCTACGCATTCCGATTTCCTGATCGTACACTTGCAAAAAGTCCTTTAGTTGATTTTCTAGGTCAATTCTAAATTGAAATAAAAACATGTTCGATCCTATTTTGATTTGAAACAATAACACAAAAAAGAACCCTTTTGAATGCTACGAACTTTTTCTGAATCGCTTCATTTTCCTCGCATATATCATTCTTTCGTAAAGTATCGAACATTTCTTTGGCCCGCAACACCGATTGTTGAGCCGCATTTTGATGGCATTTTCCAATTTCACATATCTCCGTCATCACTTTATTCGATTCGATTCTAAAATTAATGTCCAAACAATTATCTATTATCAAATTTTACGACGTTTCATGAGACCAACAATACGTACACCAATCGATTGAGCGCCATACTATTCTTATGAATAAGGCGTCGCTTTTCAAACTCATGACGTTCGATTTCGTCTTGTTTCTCTGTGGCAATGCTGGACATTTTCAGTTGATCTTCTTCAATTTCACGACGTATCTGATTGAGTTTTCGCGTATTCTTGGTATTTGCAGCCCAAATCTGGTGCAAAACCTTCTGTCTGGCCATTTCCGTGGAAGCAGTCATTTGAATACGATGACAAGCTATTCGTCTCAATTCCGTTAAAAGGACAATGATACGTTGCCCACTATACGAATTCTAAATGAATTTAAAACCGGTGAATAAACAAGAACAAATGGAAGATATCAATCGAATTTCTATAAAAATGAAAAAAAATACCCCTACCTTTTGCCACTCCTTGGCTGCATCGTTATTTTCCACAATATCAAGACATACGTTTAGGTCAGCAATGAAATCAATATTCGAAGCGTCTGCAGTGAGATTCGACCATTTTTGCGTGAATTGTTCGATTTGTTGTGCATCACGCCGCGAGAAGAGTAGTTTCAAATGATGATCACGTGGTTGTTCAATTAAACTGGAGATATAAAAAACCAGCGGAATTTTGGCAATGCACAAATCCAAAATCTTTTCAATGCGTTGTGCTTGTATTTGTAGTTCGATATGTTTGAAATCTTTTGCACTAATATTTGATTCGTAGTCTTCATAGAAGGCGACTTCTCTCCCGATTCGTTCAATGAGTTCGAAAACTACTTGGCAAAAATAGCTGTCATCTGAATCATTATCAATCAAATTGGTGGATGGGCTATCATTAATTGAAGTCGGACAAAGCGCCATTATTCTTAAACGCACTATACAGCCGCCAGATTCATGAACTGGTGCAATATCAACGACGATTGTTTATTTTATGTGACGTTTTATTTATCGAGACGTTGCCAAGGCAATCAGTTTTTTTGTTGTTGAATGAACAAGTTTGCAATTGCGTCGCTTTAAATGAATTATTCTCACCAATTGACATATAAATTGCTTTCGACTCGATGTAATTTGAATGAAGAAAACATTTTATGAAATAAATTTCATCATTTTTTCTCTTTATTTTACTATAAAAATTAATCGCTGACGACCTACATTATAATATGACTTGGTAAATAAAATAAAATACTATTGAATTTTAGACTTAACATTTAAAAATCCAGACATTTTACAGATCATCGCCACAGGCCACGCGGCTATAGGAACTACATACAAGTGTGCGACGCACACTGTGCGTTCAATATCGATTCAAACCGTTCGAATTCATATATTGAACACTATACGTTTAACATCTGCCTCTAGTCTATCGATTAAATATCACCAATATCCAATTTCTCTAATTCATTTTGGCCCTGGTATAAAATTCAATTCTATATACATTACACACTCACTATCATTAAACAAAAGTATATATGTATATATTCGCTACACTTGCTGCATCTCGGTTTTCTTTTATCACACGTAATTATTTGTTTAATTTCAAAATATTTGCAAACGCCTACAATTTGTTCGGATTGTTTATGCGATGTGATTACTTCTGTTGTTGAAGGAATAAAATTGAAGGCACATTTCGTAAAACAAATTAAAACAAAATAAAATGAAACAATTACATTTGATAACTAAAAAAAATTTTTAAATTTGAACACACACTATCTAAAATGATTCACACGAATCGGTTTGCTTCATAAATGAATGGTTGGATTTTTCCCCTTTGTTCATTTCTGGCTGGAGAATTAGGCCAAAAGTAATTTCTCCTTTTCCACCGTCAATGTTTGCTCGTTGGATGCCGCATTGATGTTTATATTGAAGTTTGATGCCTGCTTTTTCGTTTTTAGTGTGGTCGTTCGGCCTGAGAAATAATCCTCAATTTCTTGTAACGTTTTACCCTTCGTTTCGGGGAGGTAGATGTAATAGAATATCGTGCCTAATGAAATTTACAACAAATTTGAACTTGAATATTAATTTTTTTCTCATAAGTTTTTAAATTATTTCCTTATCACAAATAATCGCTGACATTTAATCAACAACTTCATTATTACATACAAATAATAATCGTTTTTTATACATATATACTGACCGGCTAGGGAAATGACGCCATACAGAATGAATGTGCCATGTTGTTCCAAGATATGTGCTAGCATTGGGTACGTTTTAACTACTACAAAGACAAATGTATGAGCAGCAAATGTGGTCATTCCACCGACCAATCCTCGCACTTTTTGTGGATATAATTCACCGATCATAACCCATGGTACCACCAAATATCCGACGCAACAGCACATAGTGAATGAAAAAATGCATGCAACTGGGAACCATCTGTACTGGGCTGGAAGGGGTGGATCGTGTCGATCTAAATAGTACTTGTATTGCAGATAAATACCAAGACAAACCATCGATACACCACATCCAATACCTATAAATTGACATTTGATAATTGAGAATTTTTGCGTTGAATTAATCGGGACTAATTTTATTAACCAGATTAAACTTCTTACTCGAAATGAAGGTAAGTGGTCGTCGCCCACAACGTCGCATCGCAATACAGCCAACGATCGTAAACAGTAATCGAACAACTCCCATGAAAATGGCGCATGTGTTGCTATCCCAAGTGGTGCCCGACACTTTAAACACTTGAACGGCATAAAATGTGATTGTGTTGACACCACTGAATTGATACATCATGAAGTATATGACGAGTATGGTGAATGGTTTCAGAGCAGCCGGACTTAGCACCGCTTTTAATGTTTCACGGAATGATGCTTTTCTGCAATGGGAAAATTGGTTAAATCGAATTGTATATTTGAAGGTTCGAACAGCATTCGAATAAATTACACCCTTCATGTTTCCATAATCACTTACTTGGCATTCAGTTGGGCTTTCTGAGCAAAGCTCTGTAAATGATCCACCTCCCGTTGAATATTGTATTTCGATCCACGAAGTTGCGACAAACTCTTTGCAGCCTTTTCTGGTTTGGCGCGAGACACATAGTAGTTTGGTGTTTCAGGCATCAGGCACATTAAAAGCAATGCAGCGGTTGGAATCAAAGTCGATATGGCCGACAAAAATTGCCACGATCTATATGATCCAATTGTATACTGAAAAAGTACACCAAAACTAATACCAACGGATGCCAAAGCACCAAGCATTCCTCGAAGATGCGGCTGAGTTACTTCAGATGTGTAGACACGAGCTGGAGCTCCCACCATCCCCGAACCGAAACCCATAAGCAATCGACCGCCATAGATCATTCGAACATCAGTCGCAATCGAAATAAGCAGCCAGCCAAGGATGAGTGGGATTTCAGTGAGCAACAATGTTTTCTTTCTTCCGAATCGATCCATCTGTGCAAACGCAAGGTACAAAAAAATGGTTTATTTGAAGGTTTGTTCACGATATTATGCCAATCAAAGTTAAGAGGGGTTGAATAAAATATACACTTACCATAAAGCCACCTAGAATGCATCCGATTGGAGTGCTGGCCGATGATAACGAAGCTATAAACGAACAAAAAGAATGCGATTAAAATGCCAGTGAAAAAATAAAACAAAATTAAATCGTCATTAAAAAGCGCCAATCACGTTGCAGTCACATTTTTATGTTGTTGAAGCGGTTCGTTGTCAAAATTATCGGTCACTCTTAAATTGGTAAGCGGGACAAGAACGACGTCAAGCGGAAAGTGAACTCGAAACGAGTCACATGTTTACTACATTTTCCTCCAGCGATAAGCGATTTACTTTATCAATTTGCATCGAAAACATCATTTAATCAACAGAGAAAATGGAAAAGTAAACGACATCCGAACATATGAAGTGGCACTGTGGCCAGTGAGAAACTCCAACACACAATTCAGCAAGGTCAGCATTTAATGTTTATTAAAGATGTTTCACCGAATTTATTTATAGAAAAATTATCAAAATACTCGATTATTCGTTTTTTTTTTCATCATCATAAATAGATTTAGTGAATTTCATTCCACCCAAATCATCAATTGATAAATATTTAATTGACGTCAATTGTTACGCACGATTGCATCGAACCTCATAGACACGGGAATCTCTAATCATCATAATTTCATATATGTTTACATCAGCGATTGGTGCTGATATTCAAATCACGGATGCTTTTCCCCAAAACAAGGGAAAAGACAAAACCTTCTGTAAAATTCCCGCTTTTTATTCAGACACTTATCAATTCTGCGAATTTAGCTGTTTTCAATTTGAAACAATAAAGAGTGCCATTGATAATTTGTTTGTGCAAATTCATCTTTTCTGGCAGCACGAGTGCCATATCGTAAAACGCCATAATTTCAGTTTATGATGCAAAAAAAGGCAACTAAGTTATTTCCTCGCAATATCGATTGATAAGAAATTGAGGAAAATACCATGCGACTAACCTTTATTATATCTCGTGTCTCGGTGTCAATGGAAACATTTACTGTCTGCAAGGGGGCAGAAAACCCCCACGAAAAAAAAGTTCACGCGAATCAACTCTCCACTTCCACTTCCACTTCCACTTGAACGTTCAAGCCTATAAATTAGCATCAATTTGTTTTTTTTCCTCATTCTCTTGCATGGTCACAGTTATAGTAGTTCAATTGTGTCACATGATTCGTTGTTGGCAAAAGTTCATTGTTTTAAATTCTTTTTCCCGTTATCTTGAAGTTTAACCCTCTGCTTGATACTATGCAATGAACAAAAAATAAAATTTTTCATCATCTTTGTAATCTAATAATGGAAAAAATAGTTTTTATTTTTTTCCCGAATAGATTTGTTTACCGCGAAAATTGGTATCATTTTATACAATCATAGGCACGCGTCTCCTCGAACAATTCGCACATAACACATTACACATATAAAAATCCATCTAATACATTGTCAAATAGATTATTGGCTTTATTGGCGCAGCCATTAAGATTACATTAATCTTTTCTTTCTTCAGGTAAACACATGGTTTATTGCCATTTAGTGTTTGTAGAATGTGTACGTGGATTATTTCTAAATATACAATGTCACGCATAAATTATCTGCGAATTTCTCGATTTTGTTTGGAAAATCCGCATATTTTTAGTCTCTAATTTTCTGTTTTATTAACGCATTTTGCACCTTCTTTTATGGTATGCATTAAGCAATGGAGCAAAATTTGCTGTGCCATTGTTTATTGTTGCACACGTCAAGAAGCAACGGTAATTTAAAACCTGTTGCGTCGCCGTATCTCTATCACTTTCGTTTCCCTTGAATTCATGCCAATCAAATGCATGTGATATCAGCATGCTTCCACAGTCATATGGTTTTGCACATCCAGGTGATCAGGTGATGCCGTACTCCTTTTATTTACATCATCTTTATCAGTTGTGATTGTTCTTCTCATCCATATTTTTAGCACAGCCCCATGCCAATCAAAAAAAGAAATACATTCACCGAAGAGCGAATTGTTATCTACAACGATTCTAACGTGTTCGATGAGTGAGTGATTTTGTCAATTGAGGCAGTGAGAATGAAAATGGCAATACAGAAATAAACATTCTGAAACGAAACATAAAACAGCAAACACGCAAAAGTGAATCATGAATGTTTGAGCAGCAGCAGTGAACCATGAGTATCGGTACGTGTGCGTAAATTCATGATTCGCTTCAACACAGCGCTCATTCAAGATTCATTTTTGAGAATTTTCTTTCAATGTTCCAATGCAAATTGTTATGCGATGGAATGCCAAATGAATGTTTACTGAACAAATCGATAAATTAACGGTAATTATCGGTGAGTGTTTGGGCTGTTGATGGGGCATATCACATGTGCAACAATAGAATTTGTGATATCTAGGTGTTTACGTCGTATATCCCATTGAAAAATTCAAGTGCATGCTGCATGCGTGCCTCGTAATCATGATAAATAAAAAAAAACGTCGAGTATGCACCGAAAGAAAAACTGATCGATTTACAGATGAAATTGGCTAGCAAATGGTGTTAACCCAGCCTGGTTGTCTCATGGCATTCCTTTGTGTGTGTGTGTGCATGTACTAGATTTGATAAATGCTTCGATTGATTTGGCCATCGATCGCATTATCATCATTAATGTTATCAAAGTACCCCTTTTCCGTCGATTGTTCACAATCTTTTGTGCTGCCTTCAGAACTTGTTGCAGAAGAGAGAGAGAAAACTGCCTGAAACTGCATATTCATTTCTAAACAAATTTTCATCGTTATTGCTTATGTTTCGCCATCAATTTTGGAATGTTTCGGATGCATGATCAAAATTACGAAGACATCGTCGTAATGGGGGGTTTTACCAAACTAAATCTATTGTACTTAATGTGTACTAAAACGTACCGCATTAAAAAAAAAAGTGTACTTATCAAGATTTCGATTAATTGAGGGGTCTAAATTTGGGCAAAATCAAAATTACGAGGTGTACGGTAAAGTATTCCAATCCACGGTCGAAATAGGATTAGTGTTATTGTACCAAATGTGTACTATAAATTACAAATACAATTGATAGCAATATCTGATTAGCATCACAAATAAATGTAAATTAATAAATGGCTCCAACATTCAGCTGTTTTCGTTTGAATCATTAAACTGCAGACGACAACTACGACGTTGACAACGGCGACGACGATTAATGTTTTTGGACTTTGTGTCGAAATTTTGAACTTGTTTTTTTCGCACTTATGCTACACACTGACTTATTCACCACAACGAAAAATTGGAGCACTCCAAAAAGCAAACACACAACCAGATGGTTGATAAAAAACGATGCCAAGAAAGTCAGTTTTGTTTATATTGCTTCGAAATAAGTTGCGTTGTGCAATTTCAAAGTTTTTTTTTTGTTTCAATCTTCGAGTCTAAAAATAAATTTTTCAAACAAACTCGAACGAAAAATCGGAAGAAATCGTCTATCAATTTGTATAGCCGAAAACATGAATTTGTATCTATACGATATTATTTTATAATTGAATATCAGTGATCGCGGGCATCTTTCATGTTTTCTAGTTGACGCGCAGTTTCATTATCGCCGCTAGCACGTGAACAAAACGTGCTCCTGTAGTTCGTGCTCACCCACCATATGCACGGATTCCTACAATGTCGATCAACAACAGGCAAATATGATTAAGCAGCCGTACTCTGATAATTCACATCAGCTGTAATTGGTGCCACCATTGTAAATTCGATTTTCTATGCACGTTTAATTCAAGTAGAATTTAAAACCGTTCACAGAAATTCACTTTGGAATTTAGAAGGAGAAAGAGAATCTAATTGAAATTCGGACGAAAGTGAATGACGATTAATAGCGTAAAGGAAATAGGCGATAAAACAAAAATAACTCGTTAGAACGACTTGGTTGATTATTTTGCCAAACTTGCGTGTCACCGGCAAATGGGAGCGAAATTAAAATGCGTAGAAAACATCGAATGAAAAAAAATGCGTATTTTTTTTTATAGATGTGTTGATGCCATTCGAAATGTGAATAATTTGTAACCTACTTTGAGCGATTTTGATGCTATTTTCTCTATTTTTGGCTGAGTATAATTTTGAAATCGGTTAGGTGTTTTTGTTATCAATATAATATAATCGTTAATGTAATCGAATTGGTGACTACGATCGCGGCACATTTACGATAATTTTGTCCATTTTTGTCTTGGAAGTCACAAAACAAAGCAATAAAACGAACAAACTTACCTATCCATGATGCTTGATTTTCATCAATTTGAATGATTGAGTCTTCTTGTTTCAGCTGCGGAAGCACAACAGCACTGAACCCAAACACAAGACCGGTATTGACTGTTCCTAAATTTGCAATAAATGCGGCAATAACTTGTCGAAGTGCTTTGCCACGCTCCTCTTTGCTCTGAAATGGATTCGCTGCAGCGGGCTGCGTTTGCATCTCTATTTGGGTTTGTGGTTGTGATTTCACGATTACCGGTACCGCTCCACTGCTATCATTCACTAACGTTTGTGTATCGCCGCTAGAAGAGAGAAAAAAAAACACAAAATTTACAAATTAAATCCAATAAATCAGAGTATGAGCCGTTTGTAATATTGATATTTTGCATACGGAAGGAAATCAATTGAAAAGATGGAAAACACAGTTCCGTACACGACTCAATTAATTTATGAAACGAAACATTATTATATGCGCAAAAATTCTTCCGTTCTGGTTTAGCATCATTTGTTTTTTCTATTTGTTTGTTCTGTCACAAATCCAATAAAAACAGCACACACAAAACATAACCAAACAAACAATGTTTGGATCACCAACTGGTCTATATTTATGCCCGAGTAATTTGAAGCCTATTGAATAAATTGACCATATTTTTTTCAGTTTATTTTTATTTTCTACGGAAAAGATTTATTTGATCATTACGATGGGTTGTTATACGTAAACAAAATTCAAAGTTACGGCAACGGCAAATTCAAACAAAATGTAAATTTCATTGTAAGCGTGCTGGTTTACGTCATTTTCGGTTTGACTTTGGAGGCTCACCACTCGTAAAAAGACACACGTTGTTTTTTTCTTCATTCGAATCATTATCGAGTATCGAATTTTCCATTGGTATATATTTTTTGTTTGGTCCGAAAAGAAAGAGTGTTGGCACAAAAAATGGCGCACATTTCAGTGTAACTGTCACTATGGCTGTACTGAAATGCTACCGGTATCATATTCAAGTTGAAGGTCAACTATGCAAATAAAATGCAAATTTTGCGCATTTGTTCTTATTTCCATCGGTGCATATCTTATCACCCCATTCAGCTGACTTTATTTACTCATTTAATTCAGTTACTAAATCTCAATTAACCTAATTTCTATTAAGAAAACAACATGAACGGCAAATTCTTTCGCTCTCAGAGGAAAAATTTGCCAAATGGTTTGTGTAAGTACTTCAATTAATTGAATGAGAAATCAAGTCGTAAACAAAAAATCTAACAACTGATTCTTTGGTGAAATAGAGAGGAAAAATGCGCTGTTTATTAATTCTAACTTTCTGAACTTAAATTTTTGGTTGAGTTTTCTCAATTTCTTTTCTATAATTTCATACATACCCAGTCATGTTGAATGTGTGCTTATTTTCCGATGAACAGATTTCGGTGCTGCAGGAGTTTTGCTTTTGAACAAGTGATATATGTGGATTTTGTCGAAAATTTCACAATTCAGTACATACGACACAGCAACAAAAGCAATACTATTTACAGCAAATGTTCGATACACCAACCACGACCAACACTTTACTATGACAAATGTGAAATCTCAGATGATTTCAAGCGGTTTTTTCTAATGGCTTCTTAGATTTTTTCGTCGAAAAATCAATTAAAGAATTTTATTTGTTGGTGCTAGTGGTTATCCTTTTAAAATCATCAAATGGCAACGCGTTTTCTATGAGAAAGGAATTGGTGTTGTATCGAACGCTATTTAAGAAGCACTTGAAATGTCACTTATGCTGTGATACAAAAATTCCTGCTACGATGGCACTGTATCAAAGTCGACGTCAATCACACAAATGTGCACCACAGAAAGAAAAACCAGCAAATTTTCTTCAACACATCCAATGAACCGTTATAGGGTAAAATATAAAAATGCACTTGCTTGGCAATATGTGCTTGGCATCGATGGTTCGATTTTTCTTTCGATTGTGAGTTGGTCGTTGTTGCGATTAGATTTGATGCAGTGGTGATGCCTAATGGATTCGGGTGGATTTCTTTGTTAGAGACTTGTTTTCAAATCGAGCGCCAATTAACAACTGAACTGACCTTATCATTTATCAAGAGGCTAAATGCTCCGGCTGCTTTGAATGTGAATTTTTGCTCAAAAAAATAATACATAAACAGTGTGACAACAAAACGCAACAGGCGCAAACGAAAACCGCACCGCGTGCGAACAAGTGAATCGAACGGAAGATAGAAAGTAGAAGCAAGAAAGAGAGAGAGAGAGAGAGAATGATAATACGAAACAAATGCGACGGCAAAACCACACACTACAACAATAGTCGACCGAAAGGAATACTCTATTTTCAGATCTGTATTGAGAATAAAAAACCTATCGCTTTCTATTTGTGCGAATGTACGGACGAAACAGAGAGGAGAGCATATTCGTAGCCGTCGTTGCACCACTAGCACAGCAAAACACTCGATTCAAATGTAATCAAACGGAACAGTGTACCAGTGAATATCAAAGCCGTTTCTCCCTCTCTCTCTCTCTCTTTCTCCGGTCTCTGGCCGTAAACAACTAAGAAGATAATGGAATTGAAGTTTGCCACTTTGTGCGAAAAAAAGAGAAGAGAAGAGATTCAATGCACGAGTTTTGGTACCGCTGAATAATACAGAGGTAAATCGAAATCATCTTGGTCACCGCAGATAAGTTTGGCGTTCGTGTTACTTCTCCTTATTCTGTTTCTTCAAATGTAGACATCGAATTTTTTTGCAGACATGAATTCGAATTTTCGCGTTAATCATTTGTTTACGATTTGGTTTAGTAACCTTTTGAGCATTCTTGAATTTTTATAGCACAAGATTTTTGATTGCATTCTCATCTTTATTTTATTCTCTGCGACAGCGATTTTTTTTCGTTCTCGCAAAAAGTCCATTGATGAGGTTATGACTAATTTTGAATTAAAAACCCGTAGTATCTTTCATAACAATCCAGCATTCAAAAAAGTTCTATGACTCTGTGTGCTATTCAGCGAAAAAAGCCGTTTAGGAGGTGAAACAAACAAAAATCTGGTCAACATAACAGCACGAAATTCAATAAATTCTCTTACTCGTGCGTTTTGCGACTACAACCGTTGCTATTCGACGATTATTTTGTTGTTGCTTCGAAATGGGCATGTTGTTCAATATGTGTTTGCTTCCATTTGACTTGTTGGCATGGAGATCAATAGTTTATTATCTCAAATATAATTATTGGTACAAAAGCGTCGTTTAAGATAACGAATATGACGTGTTTACACTTTATCGAAGCAATGCCCATAGCGATACAGCCAATAGACGTAATAACGGCACGGGGCAAACCATAAAGACAATCTTTGTTTGGTCTTCATTTTTTTTTATTGTAATATATTAATACATAATTCGATTGAATAGACTGATAGTGTGAGTTGTAAGCAGATCACGCTTGAAACACATTTATGTGATCTTTAAAATCTAGGATTATAGTTGAATACAGTTAAAATTGGGAGAAATCAAATATTGAGACTGAGACTCAATGACGTCAATCCATCTCTCTCTCCTTCATCTTTTCTTTGTTTTTTTTGCATTGAGAAATAGCAATAAATTTGATAGGTTTTTAAGTAAATGATGTGAAAGAGTGGCGTAATTTCACCTTGCTTCCGTACCCAGACAAGGGATAGCAAAGAGTGCCTACGCCATTGAAATTTAAGTGTCACAATTGAATTGGAAACATTGATCGATAAAAAGCATGTTTCTTATCAACATATCATCACATTGTACAAATCAAAACAAAATACTTTAAATAACGCCATGTTCAAATGGCGACTCACGTGCAACGTTTTGCTTTCTTCGGGCCATTGCCAAAGGTTAATCAACACACTTTCCTTTAACCTCTACAAATAGCATCGTCAACACTTTTATGGAAATGGAAAAAAAGTGTTGTTCAATCAATTTAAAGAGTATAGATTAATATAAACATGTCAACATGTAAAAGGATGCCTTCTCATCACTTTTTCGAGCAGATAAATACATTTGCGTGGATTTACATAAAATCGATTAAAAAATATTTCATTGCAGTTTACCGCTGAAATTCAATTGAAAAAATAATAACATTTTGCAAATGTTAATCTTGAAAATGTGTCCATACCATTTTGTTTTGCAAAATTATTATTTTTCTGCGTCGAAAAATTATGCGTCGAACCAGTTTTAGAAACGTGGAAAAAAAAATTCAAAACATTCAATGATTAAAATAATTTAAACCTAAAAGCAAAACAATGCGTTGAAGTAAATGTGTTTATTTTGAAGAACATTCGATGAGAACGTGTCCTGAATGCAAATAGCTAGCCGTTTTATGGGCGTCTCTAAATGAGTGATGCCATAAATCTTCGTTTGATACACTATAAACTATTTGAATTTGACAGCATTAAGTCATGTGTGCACGATTAGGCTATAATTACTTGTTGTTCTTAAGCAAGAATCACAAAACAAGTGTACTGGAGTACAACATCACATGATTCATAGTAATCGGATACTTGATCTATTTTTATTTCAAATTTGATTGACCATTCGACATTTTCGTTTTACTTCAAATGAAACACTTGAGCTTCACAGCATATCTGTATTAGCAACTAAAAGTTGGGTGAAAATGAAACACATTGTAATCGAAAGCCGAGCCAGTGAATGTAAATAGTACTTTGTGATTGGAGGGCAATCTATCAGTTCTGATGTATGAGCGCAAAAAAGCCACATTATTGATAATAAGTACACTTGACTTGAATCACGTGCTCGCTGTATAAAATATAGTTATCAATTTCTTGTTTCTCTCTGTGTGCGCATTAAAACAATATCATTACAACACACTCGGCTCTTTTCTCCTGCTCATTCTCACTCATCAGCAGTTCCGCACACGGACTGATGGAAATGCAGTTTTACAAATTGGATCCTAATGCAGTTCTGATCTGATTTGGTGGTTGTTGTTGTCATTGCCTGGTTTCCTTTTGGGTTATTGAAATACCGAGGGAATAAATACTGATTAAAAATTTAAATTGCTATCGCATTGCAATGCAAAAAGTAGGAAAATTTGTCGTTGTAACAAAAATAGAACAACAACGTAAATAATATTGTTTGAAATAGTTGACAGCATCATCATTCGTCTATCAGGCTCTCATAATGTTTGATTTGATGATTGCATTGGTTTGGAATAGTTTGCAGAATATTCCAACAACAAAAACAACAACCTAACCAAGCATCGGTTCGGACATAGAAATATGTTTACCTAGATGTTCTATACTGCATAAATATGCCGAGCATAGACGCGTACGGACGACCATGCGACGAATGTATCACCAGAGCCATCGTTGTTTGCTGTGTATTGTATTCATACACACTAACTCGTGCATTTGCAATACACGGGCCGACCGTGCATTGCGAGACGCACGCGTTAGTGTGTGTATGAATACAATACACAGCAAACAACGATGGCTCTGGTGATAAGTTCGTCGCACGGTCGTCCGTACGCATCTATGCTCGGCATATTTATCTTGCATAGAAATATATCCGAACCAATGCTTGCCTCTACGGTTTTCCACGGATTCGAAAATTCGAATTCAATGACCCTCACAACGGCGATCCGGTTCTGCTCGGAATGTCATTGGTGAAAATGAATCGAATGTTACAGTTTATTGGCCAATATATCACTGGACTCGCCATTAAACTCGAACCATTGGCAAAATGCACGATTTACTCACGTGAACTCGGCGATATATTTGGGAACATTTTACTTGCAAACATTGGAACAAACTTTCGTCGAGCATCGATTTATATACATGATTCGGCACATTTTAGAAATGTTGTAATCTCAATGTTGGCACCGATTCTATGCCCATTGGAACATCTGAAAATCAATTTTGAAAATGAAGTGCAATATGGACATATTATCGATTTTCTAGCAATTTGCCCTAATTTGGTGGATGTTGAGCTAGGAAGACCTGTGGAAATGCCGAAATGCAACAAACCGTGGGAACGACTGCGCTGCTTAACCATTAATGAGAGTTATGTATGTGAATCTCAGGGGATTTTCAGATCATACTTGTGGACACAACTCACATGCGTGGAGTTAAAAGTGTACGATCACCCACTCGAAGATATTTTCTCTGCTCACGCAAAACTACGTTGGCTTGAAAAACTGCTGATAGACTGTGACGATGTCACGGTAGAAGGTCAGGATATCGCCATCCTGGAAGATCTACCACGTCTGACGGAAATAACTTTGTCGAGTTTGTCCGAAAACTCTCTTCAAGGTGTTCTCGACGGTTTGGCAACATTCGTTGGACTTCGGAAAATAACACTGTGTTGCTATGACTTTCGCACCACTAAGGATGAACAGTTCTATGAGCAGTCTTTGGTCGAATTGGCTCGGTTTCGAATAGCCAAAGCAAATTTGATCAAATTCGTTCAAAACGTGAGTCGATTGAAAATATTTATGCTTAGCTATCGGTCGTGTGACCAATACCAATGTCAATATTTGGAATTAAAATTAGTTGATGTATCGAAGTGCGAACCACCCAATGACGCTTCGCTATCAGAGCTGAATTCATCCGAATTTATGCAATTGAAAGAGTTTGAAAATGAGGTGGCGTGGTCATACCTTGAAGAATAATTGAGAAATTCGAATGTTAGATGGGTTTACTGTTATTTTTTAATTATCGCCCAAAAAAGCCTCATGGTATTAAACTAAAATAAGCATTTTTCCTCGAATAAGGTTTTTTTTCCTCACATTTTAAAGGACATACCAACATTCAAATATGAAATGAATAGAAAAAAACAACATAAAATGCAATTGCTTCTACCCTTCTATTATTTACCCTTTAGAAAAACAGAAATCTTATATCTCGCACTTGGAGCAAACTGGATCCGAACTTCATGCATATGTGAAATCCCAACTGAATCAATATTTTCTTAAAGTTTGGGAAAAATACAATAAATCAAAAAAAAAAGAAAATCACAGCATGGTCAACGTTTTTGATTTAGAACAAGTTTAACCCATTAACTGCCAGCAAAATATTTGAAGATTTTTTTTCAGACAGGGTTTTCAAGTTAAACATTTACATTGCATATAATATATAAGCTACAAACTCAAAAAAAACTTCTCCTTATCAAAATTTCATGAAAAGCTATGAACTCAATCCGATAAATTGACTGGTCGAATTTCCATTTGCGTCTACTCCGACGAGTTTTTTTTGTAGGATAACACAACTGCATAAAAAAAATTAAATTTTTTGTACCACACAAATCGTATAGAAATAAAAAAAATATTTAGAGCTTTAGATTTCATTAAATTAATTTTATTATTCAAAATTGGCATTTACATGATATATTTTTCCCATTTTAATTTCTCTTAAAGAAAAACACCAAACTTAGGTGGAAAAAAAGTTGATATTTCGCGCTTTTCATCATAACCTCTAACCAAACAGTGAATCAACGTTGGACAAAAAAGAAATGGCTTAAATGTGAAAATTTGATGGAGAAAAATGATCGTATTTGCTCCACTCTCCATGATGCTTTGGTATAAAACTAAAGTAAATGGTCAATGATTTATCAAGGGAAAAAATCCTATTGAGTTTGATTTTCTTGTCCAGAAACCGTCCATTGGAAGGTTATTATTACTTTCCAAACAATATCTTCAACTTTCATATCATTACTCGATCTCTGCGCTTAACACGCAAATTACAAAATTGCGATCCAGAAAATAAAGCAACAACATTTCTTACCCCGCAGCAAACGAATAAATCACCCAAAACGGAAGAAAAAAAACCGAAGAAATTCGATTTGAAATGAAAACCAAAAAATTACGGTAATTTATTTTCTATGAGCTATAAATTAATGCTAGAAATTTGTATGTTCGTAAAATATTAAAAATCTTTCTGTCTGATCGCTATGCAAAATTGCTCTTCACTTGCATTTAAATGTGATTTATATTTTCCGTGAAATTAGATCCAATAAAACACACATTCACGTAAAATGAAACGAACGAAAAAAAAAGAATTGAAGAAAAAATATCGAAGAAGTAATAATAATAAATCATATATAATTCGACGTTTGCCCTTTTGTGTTTCTCATTGTGTGTGATCATTTTCCGCATGTTTTTTTTCCATCATCATATCATTCATCATCTTCTTCTTTTTATCCATTCACTATGCTAAAATTAATTTAGTGATTTTAAAGTATTTAGATTCTCTTAATTTCTTAATCATATCAATTTTTTTTAATTAATTATCATTATCATTAGATAGCTGAAATTATTACTGTGTGTTACCGCACTTTGCACAAATTGCAACAAAGCCGTACAGGAGAATACAGGTGTGTGTGTGTTTGTGTGTATGTATGTGTGTGTTTTATTTTAATTTCTAGCGAGCGCATTTCTGAAATCGTTACAGAAAAAGAAAACATAATAGAGAAGAGAAAAACAAATCGTTCCGCTGAGGCAATTCTAGGCTATGCATTTTTAGTCACATAAAATACGGTATATCGTCTGAATATGTGCACGCCCGCAACACACATCGAGCGTTCAGTGCTTGAATTGAAAGTGCTTCGATTTCATGACGCCGCTCATTTAGCTATATAAATGTGCGAATAAAACTGATGTGTTCTTTTGTGTATGTGTGTGTGTGTGTGTGTGTGTGTGTGTTCTCTCTTTGTATGTGTAAATATTTTCTATTTTTAAAAAAAATAATTAAATTTTTCATTGCCTATTATTTTTTGTTTGTTTTTGATATTCGAAAAAAATGTACAATGTTCATATTCTTTAAGATTAGATAGACTTATGCAAATTTTGTATGTATTATTTTCCACTGTTTTAATTATATTTAAACCTCATACGTTTTTGTTTTATATTCATGTGTTTTTCGTTCACTCCATTAACATCTACAGTTAAATGTCCAAAAAAAAAGAAATATGAAAAAAGAACAGAAATTCATTTGTGGCTGAAAAAGTTTTATCGTATCCTTACATGCGATTCCTACAAATGTCACTTTCACTCATCTCATTTTCTGTTCTTCATTTAGCTTGATACATTTTGTTTAAATCGAATTTGCCATTTTTCAGCTGATTTCGTTCAAATAAAAATTACGCTCTTTATCCTTCATTGGATAGAATTCTTCTGTTCTCCCGTATGGTGTTCGCTTTACATTAAATTTGTCTCTTGTTTCTTTTTATTCTAAACAATGTTATTATTATCAAATGATTTGATTTTCTCCTCAAATTATATCTATACAACAATGGTATATAATGTCTCTCGTGTGTGTGTGTGTGTGTGTGTTTGTTTTTTTTTGTTTATTATTTTCATTTCTAGTTTTTAGCGTCAGTTAATGTGCAAATGTATCTGCGTGTATGTCAATTCGCTGCAAAACTGATTGCCCCCGTTCATTCATTCGTGAAGAACATGCTTTTTACCGACTGTCGTTTTGGCTCGTTTTATTGGACTTGGTGTATGCGTTTTGTCGAGACCTCGTTTCGCGGCTGCGTTCGGTGTTGATGTTGCTGGTGTTGATGAGGAAGTTTTGCCGCTTTGTGGATCTAAAATTGCACAGTTTGAATTATTGATTTGTTCAATAAACGATCAAACATCGATCGTAGCAAGAACCTAACAAAAAGAAGCTTAAATTCTATTCGATGCCATACCTTGTAGCCACCTGACTTGTGTGGCTGGTCCGTAACCTTTATCGTTTCGAGCTGCAATGCGGAATATTATAGCTGGCTTCGATGTGTAGTCAACGTGTGATGTTGCCAACGATGTATTTGGTACTGTACACTGGTTGTTTGGTCCGCAGTACACACGAACAAATGCTAATTGGGTTGGTGGTGATTTTTCTTTGTTTGGCGATTTCACCGCTAAATACACGGAATATTCGAAAATTTCACCCTGAATCGATGGCGGTGGTTCCCATGACAAATGTGCACCCTCCGGTGATTTCGATATTTTTATCGCTGATGGTGCACCCGGAAAACCAGGAAGACATGTTTTGAATGATGAACACTATTTGCAGACGGAATGAAATTTGCCGGGATTAATAGGGGCGATAATAATAGGTTTTCGTTGTCTTTCAGAACATTTCATACAACTGCTTTCATGCGAAGTGTTATTATTTCGACGGTACTTACTTCGCCAAATTCACCTAGACCGCATCCGTTGAGAGCGGCCAATCGGAATCGGTATGGTGTGCCTGGCTCGAGAGCAATCCGTTTGAAAGCCGATAGTTCGGGGATGCTTTCGGATGTTAATATGCCACTCAACATTGAACTATTCCACTCATTGTGATCTATGTAACCGGTAATTGTTTGTGTTAAGTCTTTGAAAATACCAACCGTATGCCATTTATTTCCATTGTCAGAATTCGTCTTCTGTGGCAAAAGCAAATAAAACCAATAGATTAATACTCAATGCAACTTGTGCACGACAATATTAAGCCAAACTTATGTAACACTCACATCGTCACCAACTGATTCGTTGCCTATTGAATTCAGTCGATTTTTGTTGTTGCCAATTTTATTTACCGCTCGGTCATTTCCTGTGAAAAAATGTCCTATTATTGATATATGGTTATTATCAGTCGAATTTCGTCTTCAAACAATGTATTATACGAGTTAACTGATTTCGGTGGGTTTTAACTTACCTGATGAGGCCTGCAATGCAGCGGAAGCAAGTGCATCTAAATCTCCGGTGTTTGAATTTGCATATGTAACAGCACCAGCTGTTGATTTTTGTACGGTTTTTATTGCAACATTTCCAGTGGTCGTTTTAACTGGTTCACTGCTGAATAGAATTTTTACGTTTTCCTGCACGCTTTGGCCTGCAGCCGATGTTGGTGATGCCAATGAGGTCATTGTGATCGTTGTTGTGACAGAACTCTCTGGTTTGACATCATTATTTCGCAGTAGATCGCCACTTTTAATTGTTGTCAAAATATTGGCTGCTTCGGTATCGGATGGCGTTGGTTCTGCATGACGATTTCCACCTTCTGTTTGAGGTTTTTGCTCAGCTTCATTATTTATATATTCTTCACCTGTGTTTGTATCACCGCTTGTGTTCAAATAATCGGCATCTGAGTGTTGAAGAGAAAATATGGTTTAATATATAAAATGGGTCAATATAAATTTGGTTTCACCGAACTCACCGCTTGTTGTGACCGCATTATTTTTCTGTTCGTCGGCAGTCGCTTCATCGTCGGTGCTTTGCTGTACAATATTTCCATCGGCGTCTGTAACTGAGGTATCAACGTGTGCATCTCCTGATTCATGGTCTTCAATGCTTGCATTGGCTTCGTTTTGCGCACCGTCCGTCTCCTGTTCCGTTGTGCTTTCGGGTTGTTCGATCGGATCGGCACCGTATGGTGAACCGCCGAACAAGCCCATTTTCACATATTTTGGTACAATTTTTTTAAGCGCACGATTGTCCAGTAAATTTTGATACGATTTCAACACACCAGACCTAGCTATGCACATTTTGCGACTGTTTCGTTTCTTGTGTTGATATTTAGCATGTGGTGGTCGATCAGTGCCATCCTCCAAATTCGAGCTCGAATCCGAATCCGTATCTGAATCGGTCTCCATGGCAGAGGCTGTTCGGTTTGATTCATCATCGTCGCTGTCCACGTCAAAGGCACCATCCAATTGTTCAAGCACTTCTAAATGACTACCCTCGATAAGGTTATTATCGCCTTGGTCATTTCCAGTATCAGCCATTTGCGTGACTGACATCGGAATTGCTTTTTGAGTTGTGATAACATTTGCTACGCGCTTCGATGGCATCATAACGATTTTATGACCTCCCGCCTGGAGATCGGCTGCGTTAATTGTTTTCTGTATACCGCCACTGGCTGATGAGACAATGGTAACCGTTTTCTGATTACCCGGAGCCAGTTGTACTGTGACCGCCTTTCCGCCAATCGTCAAACCCTTTTGTTGCATCGATATCAATTGAGGCGAACCGGTTTTATTCCCTTGCAAATTGCCAACCGGCAAGGTAAACGTGATCGGCTTGCCCTGTTGTCCAACGCCACGGATCATCTTCACTGTGCCCGGTGCCGTTTGCACCGAATTTGTACCACTGGCCATGGCCGATGTTATTGTATTCACATGTGGCGATGAAACCAACGACACAAAGTTGTTCGTCGATGAGGTGACTATTGAACCAGTTTGCACTGTTCGAATACCGCTTGCTGTTGTCACAAATATTATCTGCTGATTTGTTCGAATTGGTTGTCCCTGTTTGTTTGTGATGACAAACGCTGGTTTGCCAGCACCTGCTCCGACTTTGCCAACTGTTGAATGGAAATATTCACATAGTTAGGGCAATGTATTTAAATATGAAGAGAGAAAAACCAATCCGTTTTTAAGGAATTCGGATAATTTCTCAATTATCCTATATTTCTGAGTTGACATCTTATTTTCATTCATTCATTTATTTTATTCCTTTAATTCAATCGCTAGCTGTATTTGTCAAATGTGAATCTTATTTGGATTGTGACTGTGAAATTACCTTGAACTTGATTGGTTGCCCCGCTAGTTTTGACGATTTGAGCACCACTCACGATCTGAATTTTATTGCCGCCTACAGATGTGGGCGACATCAATTTCACGACATTTGTACCGATCAATGCCGTTTTTGCACCTTGGTTCGCTGCACCGCCAGCAGTTACAATTTGAGCGCCACTCATGATTTGCTGTTGAATATTTGCAGTGTTTATTGATGTGCCGGCTTTTTGCATGACATTGACTTTTGGTAGAGATTGTACCGCCATTCCTTGACTAGTTTTAACTAATTGCAGTACATTCTGGCCCGACAAACTGATTGGCTTCTGTAGCAGAATCTGTTTGCCGCCAATTGTCGTTGCGCCCGTGCTTCCAGCTGTCAAAACAGTGCCTATCGAAGAAATACATTGTTTACATTTCATTTGCAAATAATTTTTTCCTTCTTTTTTTCGTATCTTCATAAATTTATTTGACTTATTTTCGATTTTGTAAACTTGACTTTATTTGTTTTATATAAAAATTTCGTTTCAGTTGTATTTGTCATGTGCAAGGAAAGCAATCGATACTTACCAGCAGATACAATAGGCGATGATGTTGAGTTAAGAACAGTCGGTTGTTGTCGCAAAATGGTGGTGCTGATGGGTGAACCAACATGTGCTGTGTTCGGTTGAGATGATGCGATGCGAACTGTTTGACCACTAGATAAAACGCGAACGTTTGATGTTGGCGCATTGACGATACGAACGCCTTGCTGTTGTTGAATTTGAGTGGGTTGTTGAACGGCCACACTTGAAACAATATTCTTGAATTGCTGTGTCTTCGGTTGAGCGATCGTTGTTGATACCAATGTTGGTATCGGTGCCGATGTTGTAATGATGATTTGTCCTTGTTGATTGTTAATCGACGTAGCAACTGAATTCGGCGATAGAATTGATTGCGATGCACTAACATACGAAATAGGCGTTGCAGTGCCTTGTACAGCACGGATTGGAGTCTTTGGCGATGAAAGAACATGTCCTGAAAACCGAATTTTATAAACAGTGTTTGTTTGTTAGTGCAAATGGAGGCAGTAGTCAGTAGCCAATAGCCAAATCGATTGGCCGCTATGTTGTGCACAAATGAGCACGACTGACAAATCAAACGGGAAAATTATCATGTTACCTTCATTGACGCTAACTGGTATAGCTGATACCGGTTGGTGTTGTTTCTTTGTAATGGTGACTGGAACTGGTTGTGGCTGCGGTGGCTGTTCAATTTTCTGCACCTCAAGTAGATAGGCTTGAGCCGTTGGAGTTGCACTCCAGCAAACTTCAAGTGTCGTTGTCGATGCACGAACCAAGGAGACGCGAGATGCAGTCGGTGGCACTTCTACCTCCAAATACCATAAATCTTTACAGCAAACCTATTCGCACAGAAAAATCATAAGATTCAATTGAGTTTTTCCGAAAAGAAACATGCCCGTATAAGAAAATAAAATGCAAAAATTACGAATGGGGAATACGATGTGGAAGTGAAAAAAAAATGTTCGAAAATCAACAATCAACACTTGGAAAGCTAAATTCTAAAATAAAGTGATCGAAAAGCTGTTCTTAGCCAAACTTGTAGTCAATGAGCGAAGCGATGGTGAATACAGTTTCCGTTCGAACACATCCTTACATCAGAACCAACCAGAAATGGAAATGTTCGCATTGTGTTTGGAAAATGTGCCCGCCAACAATTCACGCAACGAAAACTTGTTTTGACGAAAAAAACAGAGCTCACCCTAACCTGGTTGTTCCAGGCTTTACGATAACCATCACGACCCGACCACACGTACAAACGTGTATGAATTCCGACAGCACAATGACCAGCCCGAGCACGAGGTGAATCATCATCGTTGGTTTCCATTATGAGCTCTTGCCATCGCATGTTTTCTGCACGTAAAAAGAATTACCAATGAGTGAATCAAAATCGATAGCAATCAATCGACAATTTGTGGCAGCTGTAGCGCAACAGCCATATCAATAGCCAAATACTCACCTAAATCCAAACAAGCGAGTGTGTTGGTGCATTTCCATTCTTTTTCGTGTTGAGCTAGTTTCACTTCGTCGACGACCAACGGAACCCATCCGCCAAACACGAACATTCGATGCCCGATCAAAGTTGAACTGTGCAAAGATCGAGGTAATGGTGTTGGTCCATTTGTGATTGGTCTTGTCCACATCATTGTTTCGGTATCCAGGAGCCACAAATCACCCAGACGACATCCACTCATGCCGCCATAAATGACCAGGCTAGATTTGCCCGTTTTCTTGCATGTATATGCAACGCCAGTGTGCGATTCACGCGGGGGCGGTTGATCTCCATATGTTGTTGGCAAATCCCACATTTGCTGATTGCCAACGATCTCCAAAGTATACAGGTCATTGAGATATCTTGGAATATTATTTTTTGGATCATCACTTTCGTTGGCCAAACCGCCGAATAGGTAGATTTTGTTGCCAACTTTTGTGAAACTATGACCTAGACGAGGGCATGGCGGCGGGCCGTTCTCCGGTGGTTTCGGCGATAGTTTTCTCCATTCCCACTTGGTTGCTTGCAATTCATACAGTTCATTTGAATATTTTCCATATTCAACCATGCCACCAAACACATAAATCCGTGTTCCATCTACGACAAAACCGTACGCTGCACATCCCGGTGGCACCTCGCCTTTCGTAGCTGGCACGCACCATTGGTTTGTGGCTACAGAAAAGAAGGGAAAAAAGCAACGCAACACATAAAACAATTGACAAAATTAACAATAGGGAAATTTCATTGCATTCGTATGTAAAGAGGCAAAAAAGAGTCATTCAATTAAACTATGCAATGTAAAATGACCCGCATTCGCGCACTCACTCGCGCTCTATGTGCTTGTTCAATTGTTTCATCGAAATAATTAATCATAAAAATTGACTGTGCGCTCGATTCAAGGTGAAGGGGGATTTAGATATGGTAATTTAAAATACATTCAATACTCTCTCTCTCTCTCTCTCTCTCTCTCTCTCTCTCTGTATGAAATGTACAACGTAAAAACACATCAGATTAAAATTGAAGGCGAGAGAGAGAGAGAGAGGAAGAGCGCGAGCTGCACTGCAACCAACGGAATGCAGAAAATAAAAACGTTTCAAATACTAAAGCCATAGCAACAATAATAACTGCACATAGACATCGGTATAGGCATTGGTTTGGTCGTTTGTATTGTAGCTTTCGCTGTCGCTCACATATAGAGCAAACAAACCCATACATCCATAGCGATTGGCATGAGTCTCTGATTCGAGTCAAATTCGAAAACGAAACGAGATAGAATGAAAGAGAGCGAAAAAAAAGAAAAATGGCGACCGAAATCGTTTATAAACAAAATTCACTTATATAATCCGCCTGCTGTCAAGAGTTTGAATGAAATTCAAAGCGGCAGCACTGGCAGGCCACGGAATACCGACAAAACATCTCTCATCGAGTCAGATTTTGTATCGCCAAATGAACGAGACGACAGAACGCTGTCAATGTCAATGTATGCGAAATGAGCATGCGCTAGTATGAGTGCGGTTCAGCGGCTAAGAGAAAACGGAATAAACGACGCGAGTAGAGTGTGTGTGCGAATGAGACGCAAAATTGGTTGGACGGGCTGCGCCACCAAACGACCAATCCTACAACTGAAATGCAAGCGACGCCATTATTAAATTTTTTGATTAATTTTTTTTTTGAAATACATATTTTGTGTATTTAGAAGATGTACAAAAATGACTGAAAATACACATACAACGATGAAAAGCGATCATCTCTTCAGGCATGCCATACACAAAACTATCGAATATTGAATATAATTTTCGGACAAAATTCCACTGAAGTATTCGGCGCTAAAAATCATTCGGGGAACTCGAACTGTCTTCAAAGTTTTGATAGACGATCTTGACAACCAGAACCTTATAGGGCTCATGATTGAACGAAGAATGATTGGGAAAGCACTGAAAAATCAAATCACTGATCGAGCACCGCATTCACTATCATTATCAGCATTCTGTGTTGTCTTCCGTAAAATTCGTTCATTCGCTCATTTTTCTTCTATTCTCTGTTGCACTTTGTAGCCAAGGTACAATATCAATATCGCATTAATATTCAAATGATATTTATCCTCCCCGAATCGGGATGTTGGGGCGACAAAAGTGGGGTCACAATGGGATTGAATGAGAATAAACGGCCGATAGATTGGCGAAACAAATCAATGCTACACTTACCCGTATTGTAAACATGAAGCTCATCCACAATTCCCTCATTTCCACCACCAAAAACGACCATCAATTCTTTGATCGCAACGGCACGATGACCATGACGGGGTCTTGGCTGTGGTCCTGTTGGATTAAGCACTCTTTTCCACTTGAGCACTGATCCTTCCATTGCAACATATCACACACAACACCAACAATTTGCTGTCAAAACTTTTTATTTATTTTTTTTAATCTATTCTCTCTGTCTCTCCTCTTTCCTTCGGTGCCGTTCAATTGTGTTCTGTTACTCTCTGCACGAAACCAAGTCAATTGTGCCAAAATTAAAATCAAACACAACGCTAAAATATTATTTAAAAATATATACGTACGTATACATACGTATATACATATATAGATCTATATATTAATTCGGGAGATTTTCTCTATTTGAATTTTTATTTTTCAGCCGTCCATTTGGCTCGATCGCTCACTCTCTGTGTGCACTTCTTTAGCTGTGCTTTACTTTACTTTAACTTCACTTCAATTTTAATATTTTTCTTTTTGTGCTTATATTCTACTTCTTCTTCTTCTTATTGCATTTCGTACACTGAAACACTGTACATTATAATTTTCTGACGGTCGCCATTACAAGCCGATAACGCACCATTCGCACTGCTACACTTTCTCCACTCGCTAATCTGACAACACACGTACACACGGACATGGACATACAGACGCGATCCGAATACGCGCTGCTCTGGCTTCGACGTCGGCTTCAAAATTTCCGTCGGTCAACTGTCTCGATGTATGAATCGCTGTATTGGCGGCTTTGTTTTTGAATGGCAATGAGCAATGCTCACAAAATGTAAACACTGTTCGGCACAATGGATTTACGAACGATTTTGTTGGCGAGGCAACTTTTATTTTACTCACAAATGATATTCACCAAAATAATTGCAAATCAATTTTTATTCCTGTATCACTTGCATCACATTCACGTAATGATTAAATTTTTACCGCCACGAATACTGATGCTCAGTCAACACTTTTTCATCAATCGAAAAGAAAATTTGCTGGATTTTATTTGAATGTGGTCCAAAATAGTCTATCCACAGGTCACACTATGGATTCTTTTTTGGTGCACAACTAGAGTACAATGCAATTATGAAATTCAACTTGATGGAATTTTATCGAAAACAAGTAGTCATTGAGCATATTGAGTCATAGACAAGAAGAAAGGGAAATTTCGGTGGGTTTCTTTTCGAAATCAATCAAATTGCAATTGAAGCGAATTGGATTTCGTAATCGGCTTCAAATGTTCCATTTGATGCATTTACGAAAACTACGTTTTTTACCTGAACCAATTCTGTTGTAGTAATATTCACACAATGACACATTCAACCATTCGCTTCAACTTCAGTTTGTAATGGACACAAGTTTTATTCGGCGTCTTTTCGCATCGGCTTCCCGTTGTTGTTTCTACACACTAACACATTCGCAACTCATTTGGATCGCCATCAATATTGTACAGTCGATACGAAGTAAAAAGGCGCGCACCCACTTTGTGCAACATAACATCACTCAAAAACCGCATCAATACATGCAACATAAACACACAAAAACCATACCAGATTCAAAATATTTCCAATTCGAAACTGACTTTGTTGTGCATTGTTAGATAATTTCATTGATATTCCCAATTTTTCTTTGTAATATTATTTAAAAAATTCCACCAAATCAATTCATATAAAAATTAGGTAAAATCAATGTTTTATTTTTTTGTAAATAAAGAGATCGGCTAAAGACGTTTCGACTGGAACCGAATGAAGTTGAAGCGAATTGCGATTGGTTGAAAATATTGGCCGGCACCGTTTTGTTGATTATCGTCGGTTTACCGGTTTCGTGTGTATTTGTGTTGCTATTTCAATCGACGGTAATGGCTCCACACTCAATAGTGAAGGTAATTTTAAAAACTTCATTATTCCGTTTCGTCGAGCGATTTTTTTTTTCTCTTGACTTTCATGGCTATGCCTTACAGGCAATTTAAATAAGAAAATGAAAACCATTGTTGTTCATCAAGTTTATTGGAAAAACACAAATATCTTGATCATTAGCCGTATTTTTAGTCATTAAATTGCTTTTTTCTAAATATTTCTCTTTAATGCGAGGGAAAGTCATGAAGAAGCAGCTGATATTTTCATGGATTCTTCTTTGAAATGATGATGAAATATTTGAAAAATTTCTTCAAAATTTTTATTTATATTTTTTTTTCTCCGGATTTTTCAAGTAACTTCCATGAATTATATACACATCTTGAAGTCTAATGAAGTGGACGCTTCATGAGATGGAATAGAACGTACTTACCGTCTATTGTGATATGTGTACCAGCCTGTGGAGTAATCTTTAGTAATTTGCTAATTTAAAATTGTGTAATATGTATTTATTTTGTTAAATTGCATTACAAACGGACATTACAAAACCATAGTATTAAATGGTGATGGTCTCTGCACATTAAAAATGTTTAAACGATTTGGTGTATGATAATGATATTTGGTAATTTTATTAACATCTCACATCAATACGTACTAAAACTGTATCTCCTTTTCCAGAATTGATCACCGATCGCCTAGTATCTGATGAAATTGATATTACTAACAGGGGGTGCTATGCGCCAGTAGTGGGCGAAATTATTAGATTTTAAAAAAATCTTTTTTTTCGTAAATTTTATTAACACTTTTTTTTGTAGGGAATTTATTACTATTCGCAGCATTGATTTGATTGGTTATCTAAAATGAACCTATGGTCAAATGCTTATGACTCATGTAAAAGAGTTACAAATGTTACCAATACAAATTTCATCTTATATATGGATGATATTCTCGTATTGATATAATAACAATGTGGGTTTTATTGCCTTTGGGTATTTTTCTATTTTCTTTTTATCTCAATCAGATTTTTTCATCATACTTTGAAGGGAAAAAAATTAAATTCAATTTTTAGGAAGGCAGAAAAGAACATAAGCTCTTCTCGATATTTTGATAAATGATTCACAATTTTTTTTTTGGAATGAATCGTATTAATAATGAGTTCGAAAAAAATTCTTTGTTTTGAGCCTTTTGGCTTAGAAACTGAAAATATTTTTTTAAAAAGAGACAAATTTCATATTTTGCAAAACTTAATTGATGATAAATGACCAAATAAAACAGTGTTTTTCTATTTCTTCTTCTTCTTTCTTTACATAAATATCACAAGAATTCGTCAAGATAATTTTCATTCATTTATATACACATCTTTATTGATTAATGGAATATGTTATGTGTTTCGCCTAGGTTTTTTCTTCTTTCTTCTTCCATTTTATTTGTTCTCGTTGCATATTGACGACAAACCGGACACCAATCCACGTCTTGTGTGAGTATTTATCAGCAGAATGTTTTGATAATGTAGAGCAATTTTATGAAGATCTTGTTTTTACTGTGACATGATCAGTTTCAGTTGGTGTCGTTGTCCTTGGCTTGGTCGCTACTGATGTTGTTGTCGCTGCAGCTGCTGCTGGTAAAGACGCTGAACGTTTGCTATCATTAGATGATCGTTTTGATGGTGACGATGCATTTATTTGCCGTATATTCATATTTGAGGACTGCATTCAAATGAATTTAAAGAAAGATCACACAAACCATTAGAAATCTAAACATATTCTAAATTGCGACGAATGATTTGAATATGGACTTTTAAATGAGACATGAAGGACAGATCAAATGAAACTAGTTTGGACGCAAAATACTTTAAGGTCATCGAATCTCCAAGCAAGCATTATGACTGACTAATTTATGACTTATTCAACAATTTTCCTCAATGAAAAATAAACGAAAATAATGAAATTTATTCGAATATTGCAAGAAATTCAGTCATTTTTAAAAAACCAATTAATCTTTCTTCAACGAGTAGCTCGTTTTATGTGAGGGAAAAATTGAAATTTTTGTGAGTTCAACGCATATGGTGTTATGACATATGGGATGACTCTATGAAACGAATGAATGATTATGCAAATGGAAAATGCATTGAACTATAAAAATAGAATGAAATTTCAAAAACAATATTTACCAATTGAATAATTTAACTGATGTTGTGGTTTTCGTAGACTGGTAAACAACTTTTGGCCAATTAGCGCCAAAATCATAATGGTGTGAAAATCAAAAAGAATATATTCCATAGAATTTATGCTCGAATGTGATTGGGTTTCTAGTGGATTTTATTAAATTTTTTTTTCTTTTTTTGGGAATAGGGTAGAATCGGTGGTGATTTCCGTCTATTAATTCACATTAGCTTGGGCTTCGGTGCTCTTTTTCAAGACGCCATTGTCTTTGTCTTTGTTGTTGTTATTCGAGTGAGAATGATGGTGTTTCTTGTATTTTACCTGATTCGACCAATCACCAGTTGGTACGGTTGCTTTATAGAATCTTGAACTGGTCTTATTGAAAATCGGCAAAAGTTCATTTGCTTCGTCAGAGAAAGCCTGCGAACACATCATGATGAGAAACGTTAAAAAATTAATCTCGTAATCGAATCGAATCGAATGACTCCATTGAAACTTACCTTCATATAAACTAATGCGTCGGTCCCGTATCCTTCACAAGAGTATAAAACTAGGTCGCCCTGAAAATATCTGGCATATAAACGAGATATGGGCAGACCGTAACCATAGCCAGCTAATGGAACTGTGTGCATTTGTGATGGTGATGGCTTTGGAGCTGTACTGTACATGTATTTGAATAGATGATCGACTTGGGATCGACAAATGCCACCACCACGATCTGATAGCTTCACCGATATGTCCTCTCGTCCATTTACGACGGTCACCTCAATCGGTGGTATATTGTCGCAATCTTCACCATGATGTTCCATGACAGCTCGCATCGAATTCTTGAACAATTCGAACAGCATGTGATACAAATGTGATGGCACATAAACGATTCGAATTGGAGCATCTTTGTCAACGCCATTGTGCTGGGTGAGCTTCAATGCAGGACTCGCTAAGTAATATTGATCACAAAGGTATCTGGCATTTTCGTAAGCGTCCAGCACGACCGAACCGGGATCACACATTGGATCAATGCACCCGATATGTCTACCTTGTTGTGGTATTTCGCCGAAAAGAAGGGCTAACGAAACGAAGCCAATAATTAGAGATAATGGCTTTTAAGGAAAACTATTCAGCGCAAAAATCGCTATGAACTTACTGTGCTGATTGATTAACATCCGAATGCTGATGCGTGACATATACAAACGATCCAAAAAGTATTGGATGCTGAGTTCCATTGAAGGCTCGACTGTTCCGCCACGCTGATCCTTCAATTCGATGATACCTTGAGCCATGGTTTGCACCACATCTGAATGACGATCTCGGATCTTCACCAAATCACGCCAAAATCTGTTTGAATACAAAGAAAGTTGAACATTTTTCTTCATTCATTGCATTAAACAATATATTTCGAGTGGGACATGCCCAAATATATTTCTGCCTAGGCATTTATCTTAATTATTTTTTTCATCAGTCATTATTTTTGTTTATAGTAATTATAATGTTGGTCGTACTTTTCCATATTTTCGGTGGTCGGGTCAAGTTGTTCGTAGCGTAAAACTTCTTCGAAACTGCGTGCATACCAGGAACTGACCATACCAACAGACGGTGTTCGTGACAAACTATCCGGTAGAAGTGCGATCTCTTTCATAATATTGGCCAGCCGAACGGGTAGCTCCTTCCGCAAAAATATATACGACTTCTTCTCGCATGCATTGAGACCTAATAGAAAGAAAAAGAATCCGAACGGCGAAAAAAAAATTAAGCAATTTAGTTGTTTTTGTTTTGTTTGCGAATGTGATCGCATCATTTATTCATCGTTTTACGGAAATAAAAGCAATAAATGTGACGACAAGCGGGATGGGCGTTGGTTTACTAACGCCAAATAGCAAATGTGTCGTATATTTTTAAATACAGCCTGAATTGTCGTGTGGTTTGGCTCGGAGGCAGACGAGCGTAAAGAATTCGACACACTCGCAATGAAAGTCCATATATGTTAACATTCGCTGGTCTATATTCAATGTGGGTCACTCACAATTCGATTTTTATCGCAAAAAAGCATTGTTGCGCGCATCGCGATTCATTAAAAATTAAAAAAATATATATAATGACATTATCATTTGATTATTTTGTGGTTCAGCCATTAAAAAACAAGGTAAATAAAAAATGCGGCCGTTCAACATTGATCGACACACGATGAGTTAAATGTTCGACTTGAGTTACTTGTTTCATTTTGCCATGTTTCTTGATAAAATCGTGCGATATTTATAGGCAGTTGGATGTCACAAGTCAAATGTCGCGTCATGTACTGAATGAGAAATGTAAAATAGGCAACAGCAGTAACTGCACACTGTGTGTGTGTATGTATTTGATTGCATTTCAATTGGAAATTATACGATGAATATTCTAATCATTAGTCAATAATGATTCGATAGTTTATTTTTCAAAAAAAAAAAAATACGAAAATTTGTGCATGTCAAGCACATGTTTTTAGAGCCTGAACGTTTTATCGCAATAAACTCTCAATGATGCAAATAAGATATGACATGAAATTTATGATGTATATTGCGGTGACGCTAGTTTTTGTTTGTCTGCAATTTATTTGAAGTAGAAATTTCCAGTTATTATCCTTGCATTCATCGCACGCGCTCAAGTGAATGTTTTCAAAAAATAGCGAGACCCAAAAAAAATGGAAACACGCGTAATTCTCATACATTGACATAACGTGTTTATCAGCATTTGTTGTTGTTTCATCATTTTCGTCACACACAAAAAAAGCGTTACGAATGTATTTATGTTCACTTGCCAAACACAGAGGCACAAAACATCTGATTCGATCGAGCAAATATTATGGTCAGTAGCAGAGCTGAAAGGCAAATCGATTAGACGGGCCTATTTTTTCATACATGTTGTTTATGTGAATGTGTGCGATGGCGAAACTGAAAATATTCCGTTCGTATAAGAACGGAGGCATCGTCATGACGGTATAAGTGGTATAAGTAAGTATCAATGTCTTGGATCATCAACAGAGGATAAGAACAGCTGGTTCAACGACTTTGAACTTTACATGCGCCATGTTTGTTATATCTTATGACGAATCCAATCGCACTTGTTTACTTAAGATTATTTCGAGAAATTCAATTTCTCGATGCGAAAAATGTTGGTCGTTTATTTTTTGCAAATAAACTTCAATCAAATGTGATATTGTTTTTATTTCCATTTCTAGTATTTCTTCATATCGATATAGCTCGTATAGATCAACAAAAAGCAAAGACCCTGAGCTGTTTATCAAATTTTCTAGCGAATAAAATTGAGCGACGTCATGCTCACACACTAAAGGCACTCTCAATTTTCACATAAACACTCTATGGCATTTACTCTCGTAAATATTTGCTGACTTGTAATGCGTTCGTCTCTGTTCTCCATTATTCTTTTATGCGATAAGTTTGTAATTCATTTGTTTTTATTATTGTGTGAATGGGAGGGGGGAAGAGCGTTTTGGCAATCCACTCATAACAAAGATACATTGTTTTCAATTCAGAAATCAGTAGGTCTTTTGTTTTTATTTTTATGCTGTCTTGCAAACAATTCAGAAAATCGTACAGATTAAAAAACGTAAACAAAAATACTTTCATTCAAATATACTTGATTCCATGATTGAATCAATTAGATTTTGGCCAATTGATTAGATTCAATTACGCTTTTTCCTATTGATCTTGTTTTGAATTTTTTTTTCAATTAATTGGCTTTCGTTCGTCCAATCAAGTGCTTGATGATCGATTGAAGTGCAGAATATCAATATGCAATTACTGCGATGAATGAGCTCTCATTTACATAATTGGATTAAATTGTGAATTGTCGTTTTGAGAGCCATCACACTAAATGTACTGGAACAATAACAATAAAAGCAGAAATATGGAGAAAAAATAACATGTTTTTCACTTCATGCGATTCTTCAGTTGCAGATGTTGGTTTGAATAACAAATTACGTCGCCCGAACTAGCAAGTGCTAGTTCAAACTTATTATGGTTGGATGTCAAGTAATTAGTAGCACATTGTTTGACATTTAAATGAAAGTGCATTCAAAATGGTGAATTGATGCGATAACAACACTTCAATGACAATTCCGATGTTTGTTCAAATAAATGACGCAGGCTATTTTTGTCTTCCTTTTTGTTATTCCTTCTCGATTTTCCATCCACATCTGGCACATTCATTCATTCAGACGAACAACGTACGTGTCATCGCAATTTGAAAGTTTATTATGAGCAAACCGAAGATAGCGAAATGAATTTATTGCAGATCATCGAGCGTGTGCTACATGAAACACAATAGGCCACTTTATCGCCGCTGCCAAGCAACAATATAATCCATAATAGAACTTGTTTAAATGACCTACATAATATGAAAAACCCGTGTGTATTTGCGATTTTTTTTTCAACGGAAACTCCAATTAAATAGTTCAAGTCGAAAACGATAATCCTAACGAAACATGGATTATCGAATTTATTTTGTGTCCCCGTAATATTTCTCCCACAAAATTCCAAAGATCTTGCAACGAAAAAGAATTAAATCTCAAAGTTCAAAACAACGTCATCGAGTCACATGCACTTCGGACTTGTGGTTGCTTGACTCATTGGACTTTGATATATTATGGAAATATTCATTGTCTGTACTGTGATCGGTGGTGTGCGGCGTGCGTGTATGTATATGGCCAGTTGTCAAAATGGCTATATTTAAAAGAAATCCATTCAAAACATCCGAATGAATCATGTTAACAACTCGCTCGAAATTAGTGTGATTTTCGTAAATATATCAATGTGAACACAGACGGCGAGTGTGAGATTATTATTCGTCTGTTTGCCGTCATAATACAGAGACGGCGGTCGTCCTTCGTGCGTGCTAATACGTTGTACTTGCGAATGCACCTGCACATGCATCTACTATGCTCATTTGCACACCAACACTCATCGCGTACCGGGGGCGCATTCAGTCGATCTGCTATTAACCTTGACTTTGTTTCAATGAGAAAAATTGATTTTTCGTTGGTATTTGCGGTGTTTTTCTGGTTTCTTTTTAGAGAGCCAGCAACTCAATTAGAACGGTGCTTCGCCTCATGGAAAATGTACATTTCCCGAATGTCATTGAATTTTCTCTCTCTCTCTTTCTCTTTCTCTTTTCCTCATTTTTCCCTTTCTTCCACTTTGTTCTGCGCCGAAATTGATTTTCCACTTGGCATGGCCAATGGCCATACTTGAGATAGTAGATTTTTGTATTGATCGTTTAATTATTTTTATAATGTTGATTGAAAAATGCGAATGGTTCATGTTGAACATGAGTCCAACCAACATAGACTAGACATGCTGGCACAATTACTTATTATCGATACAGAGACAAATTTGATTAAATCCAACAATGATTTGTTTTCTTCTGTCCAACTAAGAATCGCTTAATTGAAGTCAATGCTCGAATTGCTTGATTTTTGTTTGGTTTTGTCCATTTCTACTCAAGATCCAAGAACATATATATGGGAAATAATAGCTTGAAATGGTTATGGCTATCGTTCGGAATGAATAAATCACACGAAAACAAATTAAAATGTTTCTTGCTAATGATGTCAATTAATATGTTTGCATTTGGTGGCGACAATGAAAACGGCTATATTTTCATTCAAAATTTCCTAGAGATGATTTAGTGAACTTTGTACTCGGTAAGGTTGCTATTTTTTCGTTTGAAAATCGATGAAAATATGGATTCGTTCAACACGCAAACAGTTCATTCTCTTTCGTTTGTCAACGGGCTAAAGTGATTAATTACATTCGTTGAGCATGAATTGTGTTGTCATGTTAAAAATAAATGCCCAACACTCAAATTGCGATCGTTGTATTATTATATGAATTATCGATGTGTGTTGTTACCAAAAATCCATTCACTTGATTACAACTCTCGACTCATTCAAGAACAAAGTTATTACGAATTCTGACGCACGTTGGAAGTAACCACGCCAATTCTCCAATAAAAGGGTAATCTAATGGAAAATTAGATAGATTGTGGCACCAAATACAAATCATTCAACTAGTTTTATCTTTCCGCAGCAGGATTGTTCGAATCCTCAATGTGTTGGATCCTAAGTTGGATCTACCACCTAGAGCCGTTATTTTTGTTCACACTCCCAATGGCTTTTTTTTTCAAACCAGTCATTTCTCTTCATACAAAAATACATTCATTTTGTGGCTAATGCACAACATCGATACAGAAATGAATTTAATAAAATTCAATCCAGAGACCTTCATTCCAATCGACGTAAATTTAATACATTTTTCCCAGGCAATTTATCTGTTCGCATTATTTGATATCGGCTAATGCAAATCTACGTAAACAGGAAGTGATGCCGTTTATTGTTTGCTATTGCCTCGCATCGCATTTCAAAAATCCAATACAACAACTCTAGTCGCAGCAAAAGGATCATATACGCTATTACTTTCATTTGCTATTGTGATTATTATCATGCGCTACAAATTTTAAAGCTTGATTTATAAGGTCCTTTTTCCATTTGCTCAAGCTTCGAAAGATATTTCCAAACGCGTAAATAATCTTTATATAAAGGCTATAATGTGATTACTTGTTTGTTGGTATTTACGGCAATATTAGATTGGATTTAGCGAAAAAAAAGAAGTGAGAAAAACACGCGGTAAAAACGTTGGAACATCGTTGAATTTTCTGTATAATCATAATAAGCGTTAGCATTGCATCTGGAAATTGTTGATTTCGTTATAAAAATATATTCGTCGGCGTTGAATGTTATGGATGCAAATGAAAATGCGAGAAAAAAAAACGAGAAAAAGAGTATACGATTCCACTTATGTAGGTGTCGATTTGATACAATGCACGTAATCGAAAGGCGTCTGGTTACTCTAACTGCCAGCACATTTTTCATGGGATTCTAGTTTTTGTTTTGTGTATATTTGTGTTGTAAATGGAGCATATGACACCGTGCACATGTGACAGAAATGTATATGGATATTCCAAATGGATTTATTACTTTGATAGAATCAATTCACATCGTATTTAACATTGTTAAATTGATTGATGACCTTCGATTGTCCGATGATGAATTGCGCAATAGAAAAAAATGGGGAGTACAAAAACGTAGTCACAATTTTTCAATCACATTTGCCACTTGCAAATTTGCATCCGAAATTTTCAAATTGCGCAAAATTAGTCTAAGCTTGTTGTTTTATTTGTTATTTCCTCAATCTCCCAAACCATTCCAACCAATTCAGATTATCCGGTGTTGACTTGTGTTATCAACTCAAGTTACACAATATTTTGAGACTGTCGCGTCTGCACAGCACGTTTTAATTGATGTTTGCATTTTATTTGATGACTTGTTTTTCTTTTCATGCAAACAAATTTGCCGTGGATCACGTGAACGTTCGTATTACCGCGATAATGCTCAAGAGTCAAAAGATAGATAGACTTGATAGTTGTCACACTTGAGATGACTGCCAGTCATTGGCTGGACGAGCATTTGTATAACGTTTACTTCAGAATGTTTCGAACATTGATACAATCATGTAACACTCAAAATCATATTGATAAAATGCAACGACCCGAAAAAGTAGTACAACTTACGACCCAAGTAAACAATTCAATTGACTCAAAGAGTATTGCTTCTGACTGAAATACATTGTTTACTATCCAAACATTTATTAAGATTTATTGGTCGAGTGGAAACAGCAGCAGCAGCAACAGTGCATGTAATGTTTGAACTCGATTTTCTGCTCGGTTACTGCGAATGATAACAATGCATATTCCTCATTGGAATCAATTTAAATTCGACATGACAACGGCAATGTGGTAAAATTCTGTGTTTTCATACTGACGCATGTATGCCTTTTGCATTCCCGTCTTGCTCGCACTCAGAATTCTATGTCTTTAAGCGTAATATCGCAAAAACCTAATTGTATTTCATTTGTAAATTTATTCAGGTCTATTTGAATGAGGATGTTGGTTGACTTTTTAAAATTATATAGCGAACGACGGTGTAAAATGTAGGTGAAATCAATTTTATGTGCTATCTACCGAATGAGGCTTGGCCTTATCATTTTATTATTTTCCTATACTCTTTGAAGTGGGCTCTCCCTCTCCGGCAAACACGCATTTTGTATCATTAAGCAAATAAAAATCAAAGTTTTCAATGACACTCTTGAAATTTCCCAATGAACATTTATCTGATCGAATTCTGTTTAGCGGCTCAAACTAAAATCAACGGTACTCGATTCATACGTTTTGTGAGTTCGTTAAAGTAAAATGATATAAATAAATTGCAAATAAACAAAAAAAGAGAATTAATCGTTTTAGAAGATAATAATGGCATAAAACCGTTGAAAAAAAAATCAGATCAACTAGAATCATGCGATGGACTGAGGTGAACGGTCGAACTAATATGAGCCACTTAAAATGAATTAACATAAACAAAACGAATGTGTGTGTGTGTGTGCGTATGTGTGTCCATCGCTTCTATTCGCGATCGCAAGCTCACTGTTGAACACCAATTAACGCACACACACTACGAAGGAAACATAGAAATAAACAACCATTTTTTTCCATTCAACTCGAACACAATAAGATGAAGAAAAAAAACATGCATACAAGTGTCAGCAGAGGCACGCATACGAAAACGATCGCCAACAATTCAAGATTGATTGGTTCTCTTCATACTAAACAAAACTCACACCATGACAAGTGAGTTAGAAAAGTGAAAAAATCCAATATATTAATCCAAGAATATATTCTGAAATTTACATTTTTCTCGTATGCAATACTTGATTTATTTCTCTTTCTGTTTCACGGCTACAGTCGTTCTTATTATGGAGTTATGAAGTTATGGTTGTTGTTGTTGTTGTTGTCGTCGTTGTTGTTGCTGCTTTCCAGTGCTTTCCGTTTCACTGACGCCGTGCACTGTAATCGTGCTGTAATTATTCTTCCACAACGAGAGAACCAATCATATGTGCTAATCAAGCCACTGGTGGACTTTGAACCGTGTTCATTTGCCATGAAACGTTGCTGCGAATTTTAAATCGGCATAACGTGCTGTAACCATCTAAGTTGTGAATATTGTTGCAACAACGATATTCGAAATGAAAAGAGATACTCGACGAGCAGTTTTGTTTTGCTCACCCTGGCTTCAACAAGCGACAATAATAATCACATTTGCAAACAGAAAGCATATACACAATTTTCTTTTTATTTTCAAAATAAAAAGGATAAATTTAATGTTTAAATGAATCGCTTTCTTTTCATTTGCGACATATGAGTAAAACGATGCAATTCATCACAACGATTTCATCGCTCAATCAAACTACATGATGATTTTTGTGCCTTTTGCTTTAGTTTCTTCATTTTCAACATGCGCTAAATGCGACATTTCCCTGAAACACTTGCCCGGTTCAGCAAGCGGCTACGAAAAGTCCTGCAAGAGGTGAATCGAGTGAATGCGTTTTTTTTCTACATATCCAAACTCTTAGGCTGTGTTCCGGCAAGTCAAAATTACGATTACAATTGAAAATCAAGTTTATGAAGAAAGTCAGATGAAAGTGAAAGAGCACACACCAAAAAAGTGTATATATTTGATATCAATTACATGACATTTACTTACCAAAATCAATAAATTGTTTTATCGACAACGGCGATGGATTGAATTGTGAATAAAAGTCGAGCATTTTATTCACGGAAGCGGCGGCAAATCTGGGTGAAAATAGCCTCATTGTGATGTGATTTGCGTGACAGCGTCGAGTTGAAAACTTTCTTTATTTTCTTTTGGTCTCTTTTTACTAATAAAATTAATATATTTGATTTTTTTCAATTGTTGTTTACTCTATTTTTGTGCTACTGATTTTAAGTGCTTTTCCTCACTGCGAAAAATCCCGAACGTCAACCAACACAAATATTATCCGTAGTATGTCTTAAAATGTACAATTGGATCTTTCTTTTTTTTTCGCTCAGAACACAAGACAAAAAATTTAATATTTTCTTCGAAGTTTTTCCTTTTGACGCAAGAAAATTGGCAGGTTCATTTAGCAAATAATGTTATTTTTGATGGTTTGATTTAAGCGACAGAAGTAAAAAAAAAAGGTGACCGGTCTCGCGGTGAACGAAATGTTTGTCAACTCAATTTTAATACAATTGCGCAAAATTGTCGAATCAAATAAAATTGAAGCGAAAACAAAACAACAACAAAATTATAATCATACAAAAGCCAAAATTTGGCGTAATTTGTAGCTATTTTATCATGTTTTGATCTTATCAAAAATGTGCGAAATGATTTTTATCACTCGAGAATCTCATCGATTTCAATTAAATTTTTTTTAATACAACCACATCATAAAATTAGCTTGATAATTTTCAAAGTTAAATCATAACACATGAATTCGAGAAAAAAAAAGCACAAATTCTTGTACTATCACTAAAACACTCGCAATTTATTTTCTGCTGGTGCGAAAACACCAAAGAAAAATTTCAATCCGAACACCGAAGTTCAGAGCGCATCCAATTTCTGGCACACTATCCTATGCGGCTCATATTGTTATTATTCTTCGGCTGATTGATTACTTGACTTTTTCGACGTGACGACCGATGAGAACTAAACCGCATTCAAACTGATTTTTTGTATAAGTCGAAAATTTAGATGAACACTTTTTTTATGCAATATATACATATATATATATATATATATATATATATTTTCTGTTCAAAGTCACACTCTCTTCTCTCTCGACGAGAGTATGTGAGCCGTGTGGAATATGACTGACGGTATGTAAGTATATGGGTCCGTGTTTGTTGTGATTCTGAAATCAAATGTTCCGTTCCGATTCGCAGGCGATTTTATTAAAACCAATGCCTCTATGGCTGTGACAATTATACTGTATGTGCTATACATATAGCTGTGTGAATTTCATTTTTTTCGCCTTCTTCTCTTCTTCATTCCGAATCGAATTGTGGAACGGTCGAAGTGTGTACGTGATGCTTGACGTATACATCACTTTGCGTTATATTATCGCAATACCATGCTTTTGGAAGACATAATTGGGTGTATGCGTGTTGGTTCTGTCAATATTTTTTTTGCTTGTCCGTTTTGCAGTGTATGTGCTCAAGTGTATGTGCGTGTTTCCGTGTATTGAAACGAATAACGCGCGCTGTTTCAACAACAAAATTTTACCCAGTACAAACACACTACATCATTTCGCCTTGTATAGTTGAGACAAAGTAGCGGCAGCACAGACGAAATAGAGATAGTGAGCTACCAAGTCGCTCTTGATTGAAAGAGATAAATGGTCTATCAGACGACAAAGAGGAAAAAGAAGGCAGAAAATGCTGTGTGAATAGAATATCGGCTGTTTTTGACAGTTGTGCTCATGAATAGAAACGATTTTGCGCAATAGCAAGTCACATGGACGTTTTGCTGGTTTGAACACCGACATCAACTGACAACTTAACAATATGCAAATGCAAAATACAATTTCTGAATTATGGGCAATTGCCATTTGATTCAAACAATTCCCTTTGATTTATTATGTTCTCATGAATTAAAATGTTTCTCCATTATTATGTCGCGTATTTTCTAAATGTAAACAGGTTTCATTCGTGTTTAATTTGTATTTCGCATTCAAGTGAATTTTTAACTGATGCTTTTCGCCGTATGCTTCAACCCTGAGCTCCGACAACTGTCAACACAATACGTCATTGAAGAAGAAAAAACCGCGAATTCTGGTTTTGGCTTTTCAATCGCATTTTCGATCGTGTATAGAGAGAGATATATTGCATATAGCTAAAGGCAATTTGAAACATGGTGCAAAATAAGTTCAATTTAATTGTTGCAGCGTGTGAAAACTCGGGCATTGGGATCAAAGGAAATTTACCATGGCGTTTGAAGTAAGTCAATTTACATTGAATTGCTGCAATTGAACATTTTATAGAATATTTTCAAATTTTGCTTTATTGTAGAAATGAGTTGAAATACTTTAACAAAATGACAACATCTACCGTTGATCCAACGAAGAAGAATGCGGTGATTATGGGTCGTTTGACGTATTTTGGGATTCCAGCCAGCAAACGACCTTTGCCCAATCGATTGAACATCGTTTTGTCAAGTAAATCGGTTGCATCGGACTATCCAGCCGATGTTGTTCTCTGTACAAGCTTACATCAAGCGATGGAAAAACTTCTCGACACCAATTTGGGATCGAATATTGAATCGATTTGGATTTGCGGCGGCTACAGTGTTTACAAAGAAGCAATGGCTTCCGATTACTGTCATCGCATCTATTACACAGAAATCAAGCAAATGTTCGACTGTGATGCATTCTTCCCAGATATTCCGAGTTCATTTAAGATCGTTCCAAATGGTGAGGACATCCCAAGCGAGGAACAAGAAGAAAATGGCCTGAAATATCAATATAAAATCTATGAAAAGCAAAATCCATGAAAGAACATTCCATTTAAATCATATGCACTTTTATCTCGCTTCAAACATTCGCTCGAATTTATTTTAATAAATTGCATTTCGTTGGTTATTTTTGTAACAATCTTGTTTGTTGTTTTTTGTTGGTTATTCTACTCAAGTACAATGCTTGGTTCTACTCATTATCATGAATTTTTATCGTTATCCACATTGGATCCCCTAGTTGCGGCTGTTGATGATGCTGTATCGTCTTCTTCCTTTGCAGCTTTCATAAGTTCGTATAATTGAATGATTTGATCCTCTTTGAATTTATCCAAATCTTCGACATTCAAGTGCTCGCCAATATCAGCCTTTGGCTTACCATGCACCCCCAAGCCCATCTGTTGTGACAATTTCACCGCATAGTTCGTCCATTCAACCATGAAAATGTTCGCTTCGGATTCATTGCATTTCTTGTGGCGCTTGAACTCATCACGCACATAATTGTTTCCCAGCACTTGTAGCTCCGTCGGCAAACCTATCACGAAATTAATTGTTATTGATTGATTGAATGAGAAAGAAATATTTGATTTTTCAAAACTAACCTCTGTGAAGTCGCAAAATGGTTTTATATAATAAACGAACACGAGATGCGGGCGTCGAATACATTTTCCAACAAAACAACTTTGACCACAAATTCTTCCTCGAAAATTCAATCACATCTTTTGTTATAAAACTATTGTCATTCACTATTTATTCTTGCTGTTATAGTTCAGCAAACTCTTTTACCAAGTTGAGTCTGAATTGTTTGGTTTGGTTCGGTGTTATTTGCTGTACATAATACATGGCGCCATCTGTCGATCTGTCAGTCGGTTTACTTGAACTGCCAGAATTTTTAAAATCCAAACGAAACGTTTTACGTTACGAAAGATGATGGAATCAATGCTCAATAAAATCAATACTATCATATACTAAGTAATAAACGTCGAAAAATAAATACTGAGAATAAAAATATCGCATCTGATTTGATACATTGGTAAATCGAATCGTTTGAACTGTTAGTGGAATTGAAACGAAATTCTCTTGTTTGCATATGCGCTTGTTCAATTTTATCAGATCAAAACATTTTTGGCTGCAGCTAAATTCATATTAGTATTTATACTACTGCAAATGGTTTTTACTGCTGAAGTAGAGAGATAGAGATTTTTATTAAAGTCGTCGTCTCAGCTTCAAAGAGTTTTATTTGTCAAACTAACTTTTAGATTTAAAAATCAACTACTCGATTGCCGTATCTTTTATTTTTAAATCAATAATTTAAACGATGTTAAGTAGGGAAGAAGTGTCAAGTCAAGAAAACCCAACGAAAAATATACCGAAATTAATAAAATTCATTTTAATAATGTTGATGGAAAAAAGTCGCATTCTCCCTTCTGGTTATAAATGTCTTACTTGAATTTAAATCGCAATTGCGTGAATTAATCTGAATTCAATTTACCCTGACCTTAGAAGGACATAGTTAAGGCATGAATAATTGATTCTCGTCACTTAAGTTAATTTTGTCTTCCGAAAAACTTTGAAATTTTTCTTTTTCAAGATTTTGTGATCAAAATAAAATTGTGAACATTTGTGGCCCAACTCAATTTTTGGATGTTTTAATTTAATTTAATTTTCACTCTTTTTTAATGCGTCGTTTTAAATTTTGTTTAGGAATCAAGATAAAGATTGGCAAGTAGATCGATTCAACACAATCGGCAGTTTGAAATCTATTCTTTGTACATGCTATTAACGTATCTGCGTTTGGCTTTAAATAAATGTCTATTTTATATAAATTGCTGCCGAATCAAAATTGCTCAAAAGGTTCCCCACATACACAATAACATCACAGCCTGGTGAATGGGCCATGTGATGATAAACACGCTAAATTGTGCTTGCATGTTTGGCCGTCTAATTGGAGATATAGTATGTAAAAAAAAGTAAGAGCCATTCATTGGATGCTCATCCAGGCCGAATTCAAGTTTAAAGTCAAATGGTTTGTAATTACCTAGTCTATCTTTGTGCATTGCAATATTATGAAGTGAATTTCGATGAATTATTAACGACTATTTTGCTTGTTTCCATTCTCTGGCATTTCGTTTCACATGGTTTGCTGCTTTCGTGCTGAAAATTTTCGTTCGATAAGCCCACCCGCTCAGTACGGAACATATGAACATTGGGCTTATAAATGGTTTGTCGTTGTTCTCCATTTGTCTCTCCTTTTGTTGTTTGATATTAATCAGGTGGCGCGCACAAGTGGTGTACGAGACCAACAATCAAATCCAAGATAAGTGTCTCGTGTACGATACAATGTCTAGATCCAGTGGAAAGTCGATCGTTGTTTTATGTTCAGTTTATGATGGCTGCTCAAACAGTAAACAATAACGACTAGCAGCAGCAGCAACAGGATCAAGGGAAATAAAAAAAACCTACCACTGAAATAAGTTTTGTATTTTTGGAATTGAAATAGTTTTATTGACGACTTTTTAAACATGTTGTTTGCTAAATAGTTCGTGGGAAACGTTTTGTGATTCATTTCAAATATTTAGATTTTTAATTAAAAAAAAACTGTACGTTGTGTTATATTTACAAAAACAAAAAACAGATTCAATATGAATTCACCGGATAATGGTACCGCAAACGTGCAAGGCCCAACATTTTACAATGGACCGAAAAACAGTAGCTACATCATACCTGGTGTTTATGATTTAAGCGTTGAAGATACCAATTGGGTGCTAACATCTTCGTTCATCATCTTTACTATGGTATTACACATTCAATGTATTGATCCAATACAGAAGTTCTTTTAATAACGACATGGATCTGTTTTGGGCGTTAAATCTCTTCACATGTAGCAAACAGGCTTCGGTATGCTTGAATCAGGCTGTGTATCGGTTAAGAACGAAGTGAACATAATGATGAAGAACATAGTGGACATAGTGCTTGGTGGATTCACATATTGGCTCTTTGGCTATGGGATGTCATTTGGACGTGGTCCTTTGACAAATCCATTTATTGCAATCGGAGATTTCTTGCTTGGTCTGTCATTTTCCCACAATTCACATTTTAAATACACCAAATTATTAGACAATTCAAAAATATTTGCTACCATTTCAGATCCACCAGCCGGTGATCCATTGATGGGACCCATTTTCGGTATAAAAAAATAGGTTGAATTTTACATAATAGATATGATTAACAACTCCCAATGTTTTTAATTTATTTTGTTTCATAGCTGCGTTTTTGTTTCAATTGTCTTTTGCAACGACTGCAACGACAATTGTGTCCGGTGCAATGGCAGAGAGGTAAATAACATAATAAACAATATTTTCAAGTGGTCTTGATAATAACAATGGACACACGATTTAAATTTGACGATATATTCCAAAATTTTGGAGATAAATGCTAATGTAAGTGAAATTTATGTAAAAGCTGAGTCACTCAGGGTGACTTAAAAACGAAGCTTTCATTGGATTACTAAAATTATCAAGTACTTATAATTGCATATATGAGTGGAAAGTCATCAATTCCATTTAAAATGATCATTTTGATCTTGAATGCGTCGTCTGTGTAATAAATAATTGTGTCGCCGAATACGGCTCTTTGTATTTTCTAACTCCAGACTTCGAAATTACCGAGTAACGTAATCCATCTCGTGTAAACATAAATTGTTACTTTGTGATACAAAACCAATTTTCGCAGAATTAAAATCGCAAAATGGCTGATCCGATGAAATGTACATGGAAAATAGCACGATTAGTCTCAAATGTTCGTGTAATTTGTCTGCACTTGAACAATGTCAATGGTTAGCCATTGAATATTTAGTTAATGTATAGCTATTCAATTCATCGTGGTATGGTTTGCTGTAATTGTCGCACTTACTTGACCGGATCCGTAAATAATTTAATTTTCTATGGTCACGCAAATTTAATTTTCCCCAAAAATTAAATATTTATCCACGGAAATTTCATCAAAACTAACCAGCATACACAACTCGGACATAGATATTTTCTCACGTGCGTTCGTTATTCATTACGATCCGTATAAAATGGAGCGCATGTGTGCATTTGTCACTCGCAATCTTATAAAAGATAATTAAGGTTGTGTGGAAATCAAGACGATTGTTTATCATTGATCATGTTGAAAATGTGTGCCCACACTGGTCATATGTGGTTGATGTTGACCAACTTTTTTCTTTACGAATCGAACACAGATGCAACTTTAAGGCTTATTGTCTGTTTTCATTCTTCAACACAGTCGTCTACTGTATACCAGGTATTTTGGATTTCAGTATTGTTCGTAGATCCGATTCGTTTACTAACTACACCTATTTTCAGCCGGCTGGGTATGGGGTGAGCATGGATTCTTGAATAACCTTGGTGCCGTTGATATTGCTGGTAGTGGTCCAGTAAGCTTTTTTTATTCAAATTGATTTCACGCTATGCGTTTGATAAAATTATTTAATATCAATTTTTGACACACACCCGGAAAAAACAATCATTCAGGTTCATCTAATTGGTGAGTAATAGATTTGACACAGAATTGGTTTAAGTGAACAATATTCTTCCGGGTTGTAGGTGGTTCATCTGCATTTGCCAGCGCTATGATGCTAGGGCCAAGGTTGGGCAGGTATGCATATAGTTTTCCCAACATATTTCGATTTTTTTCAGAAAAAGTGTTTTTCAACAAAATTCGATTTTGAAAATCTGGGGTTTTAAATTCGGATTTTGTTTAGTTTCTCACGAAGAATTTTGTGGTGGTTTCAGTTTGAAGCTTCGATTGAGCATTTTGACAAATTAACCCAAAAATGCTAGTTAATAAGATACCGATCTTATTAACATATTAATAACATATTTTCGTTATTAACCTGGCAAATTTTTCAAAACGACTCACCATAAATGAAAACTGAAACCACCATAAAATTCTTCATGAAAAACTGAACAAAATTAAATTCCAAAACCTCAAAATTACAAAATCGAATTTTGTTAAAAACACTTTTCCTGAAAAAAATCGAAATATGTTAGGAAAACTATAGGTATGCAGAAGGTTTAGATCCGTTACCGCTGGGTAATCCTGTCAATGCTTGTATGGGACTGTTCGTTCTATGGTGGGGCTGGTTGGCCTTTAATTCTGGATCAACGTATGGTGTGAGTGGAGCCAAGTGGCAATATGCTGCCAGGGCAGCGGTCATGACCATGATGGGATGTAAGTTGGACAATTATAATACCCTCTCTCCTTCGATTGTTTTTCGTTTTCAATATATTCTTCTAATTGTAGCATTCGGAGGTGGCTGCTTCTGTTTGATGTGAGTAAAAAAATTTTAGGCACAGTCAAAGCTATTACACAAGAGCATGCAATTATTTTGAAATTTAAATATTTTGCCAAAGTTACTCAATGATCCGGAATGACGGGCGCGTCGATATGATCGATTTAATCAATGGAATACTTGGCTCTTTGGTATCGATAACAGCGGGATGCTTTTTGTATCGAGCATGGGAGGCAATGTTGATTGGTGCTATCGGCGCAATTTTAACCTGTATCTCTATGCCACTCTTCGATAAATGGTCGGTTGATGATCCAGTCGGTGCGTCTGCTGTGCATGGAGTCTGCGGAATATGGGGTACACATACACATAATTTCATTTCACATTCATTGCACGTTGCCATTTTTCGTATTTTAAAATGTTTCTAAAATGTCCGTCCAAACGGAATGTAGGTGTTATTGCTGTTGGTTTGTTTGCCGATAATCCGGTTCCCTTGGATACCACAAATGGACGAATGGGCTTCTTCAAAAGTGGCGATTTCTATTTGCTTGGCATTCAATTATTATCTGCACTTTGTTTGACCTGTTGGGGAATTTGTTCGACATTCCTTTTACTCTACATAATCAATATCTTGATTCCGATCCGCATGGATTCGAACGAAGAGTTGGTTGGAGCTGATTTGATGGAGCATCGTATACGACACTCAAAAATTGGAATCTCACGCGCTATTTCCGCCTTGTCGCCGTTGCGTGTGAATTTAGATGATGTAGCTAATGTGCCTCCGATTGGAATGAATCCAGGCCACGAAGGCATCGTGGATGAACTACAAGCTGTAAATAAAAGTTTTTCGTTTTTTTTTCTCTTTTTTACCCAGCGTAAAAGTAAATCAAGCGGAAACAAGAATAAGAAATATAAATTTTCATCATTTCATTTCAGGCAAATAACAAGATGAAAAAGTGGAATGATTTCTATGAACGTATGGACCCAAAGAAAAAGAATTCGATACAAAATAAACCGATTGATGTGACGCGTGCAGCGTCCGTAAAGTATTTTTCGGTTTATCCACGAAAAACGGCCGAGCAGTCGAATGCTTCAGGTAGAGTTACGCCAGCCGAAAATACAATGCGAACATCGACCAATTTAAATCAGCCAACGGCCGAAACAAGCTTCCAAGGCGAACGTTACACCAGACGATCAACTGAATTTGGTTCACATCGTAGTGACACTGGTCACACAAATTTCGCTTGGGTCGATTAACTTCTGAATCTTTCGGAGCATTCTGTTGCGACTAGAACGTTTTCACTTTCAAAATGTCGTTTTAAATTTTTTCCATTTAAATAAATTGTACGAGAAAAGAAAAATGAGAAAAATAAATTTGCTGATTCAATAAAAACCAACTGAAGGCGTTTGCATGCATTTGAATCGTTGGTATCGACACTCTATGTTACCTGTGCTTTTTCTTTTGAATTGCTTGCTTTGATCATGCGCACAATGCACATTATGTTGCAACTACATGAAGCTCTCTTCACTTGGATGGTGGATAAAATAACAAAATCCCGTGTCATAAATCGATTTGAGGAGCGATTTTGACAAATGGTTGCATAGATTCAGTGCTTCATTCAGCTACATTTATATTGAATTGATAAAAATAAATTCGATGCGACAACGTTTCAAGGAGTGGGATAACGCAAAAAAAATTTAAAGCAATATTAAGAATGATTGTTGATTCGATTTGAAACACGATTCATCTGCAAAATATTGTGGATGGATTGAAAAATTTGTGCTCAATTCGAACAATTGCACATTAATTAAATAACATTTTCCAAAAATAGAAAAAAAAATAAACGTGTGTTATATGATCAACTGGCGTGTGTGATTTGCAAAGTGACCAAGTTGAAACAGTTACAATTCGGAACATAGTTTAGAAAGAGGTGATAAGCAATTGTTGATTTTTTTTTCATTTTTAAAACATTTTTGATTGAAGCAAAGGAAAAAATGCGTGTTCGATGCATATCAACCTGTGTCCTTTAGTTGGATGGAAATGCGTGCATTCATCTATGAGAATATGTAAACAAGGGCGATTAACATCGTGCTCGAATCACTTTGCCTGATTATGTGCTACATGTAGTGTATGTTTTTGCGCGTATGCGATTTTCAGTAGATTTATGACCGGCACGGTATTTATATATATATATATATATATATATATATATATATGTATATAAATCGTCGAAACTTTGTGTTGCTTGGTCTGTATGTATATATGCAAGTGGTGCACATATTCCATTCGGTCGCTATTCTACTTTTAGCAACGCAACTTTTACACGTAGCAAATATAATATACAGGGAAAATCAATTTTAAAATTGCCCCGTTTTGTAATTGATATATAATTGTATATATACACACATGAGTGCAATTCGATGTGCAGTAGCGGACAGCAAAAGCAGTAATGACAGTAACGGTTGCTCAAATGCGATGAAATGAATTTAGAAAAAGTGCTACAAATTTAATTACCAGATAAGGAGTTTAGTAAAAGAAAAGGGATACACAAAATAGGCGGAATATAATGGCGGACGAATCGGAGGAAGCATGTTTGGTTAATCCAAAATCGCCACTGAATTCTGGCCAAATGCAATACACAGATGGCATCAATTCGGCATCTAGCACATCAACGGCCGCGGGCCCACATTCATTCACTCCACAGGCACAAACAACGACAACAACAACAACGACGACGACACACCATGGCGGGCAAAGCACAACCATCGCTGCCAATGCATACGACCTCAACGACGATATCATTCTGAGTCAATTTCATGCAGACGCTATCAAACAGGCAAGTCTTACGTAATTACACACGTTGAACACACAAAATCACAATCTAAGGCATTCATTTGGTGTCATTTGATTTTTTTCGTTTTTTTTTTCTATAGGCTGGATGTGGGAAATTTCAATTTGTCGCTGCAATCATTGTGAGCTTTTTATATGTTTTAATGACAATCAACGGGAGTTTATATTCATTTTCTTTTCAATGATTTCCATCAAATATTTCATCATTTTAAAGGTGGGCTTGGGACTAGCTGGCCACGCCATTCAAGTGTATTCGATATTTTATATTCTACCATCGGCTGAGGTTGAGTACTGCATTTTGGACGATGAAAAAACTTGGGTTAGCAATATTTCACTCATCGGCATCGGCTGTGGATCGCTATTTTTTTCCGCATTGGCCAGCAAAAACGGACGCAAGAGGACACTCTTATGCTGTCTTGCAATCAGTTCCGTATTTTCAGGTGTGGTCTTGGTCTTGATACACTGAAAAAACAAAATTTTAAGGAAAATTTCAAGCTAAAAGAAATTTCTAAATTTATTTACAGTGGTTGCGGCGTTCATGCCAGCGTACGGTCCGTTTATGATGATGCGATTTTGTGCCGCAATCGGTATCGGTGGTGTGATGCCAGCCGCTGCCGCTTACCTCTGTGAAATCACACCATTAAGTAGTCGAGCTCGCGTTATTGCATTCTTATGCACACTTGGAATATCTGGGGGCATTTTTGCTGGAGCTTGTGCGATTGCACTAATTCCATTGTCGGGCCAACAGATTGTCACGGAGAATAAACAACATTTCAGTGCATCGAGTTTCATGCCATGGCATCGATATCTGCTGCTTGTCTCAATCATTCCAATCTGCAGCACCATTTTATTGTGTTGGCTTCCTGAATCGCCTCGATTCCTTTTGGCCAATGGAAACGAGGTCGAAGCTCTTGCCACGTATCAGGTAAAATTAGTATCATCGTTGATTGATTGATTAGCACACAACTCAAACCAATCGAATTGATTTCAATTGTATCTTTGCAACACCTTGTTATCTGATTATTTCCAGCAAATCTACAAAACCAATCGTTCACGCGGAGGCTATGCACTAACGGAACTCGAATTACCCGGTGTTAGGACACGTCGCGTTAGCACACCATCATCGGTACTTGCAGCGATACTAAATAATGTGTATGCATGTTGCAGCACATTTGTTCAATTGTACAATGGAAAGTATGGTCGCACGACATACATATTGATGTCCGCATGGTTTGCTTCCGTTTTCGTGTTTTACGGTCTCACAATATACATAAGCGAGTATTCGAAAGCGATGGAAGTTAACTTTTACAATCGTTTGACTGTGAGTATTAGTAGAAAAACAAAAACACGTAAAACAAACTCAAATTAGTTAGCATGCTGCTAATAAATTTGACACTCACTTTATTTGTTTGGAAAATTGATTGGAAATCTTTTGTATGGTGCTCTCAATTATAGGTCACAAAGTTTAATGTTACGTATAGAAATTCGAATTTCCAAACATCACTGGATAACACGATATTCAATCAATGTCGCTTTGAGAACTGTACATTTCGACGGTTATTCATCAATCATGTTTTATTCAACAATTCTACATTTAAATATGCCGAATTTTCGAACGTCAAAACTAGTCGCACCGAATTCCGAAATTCGACCCTCGATACGATCAAGTAATGTGTATTGATTTCATTGAGATAGAGGGAGAGAGAAAAACAACACTGAAGCTGATAATCAATAAACTTTGCTTTGTTTTTGCATTCAATTAGATTCATCGACACCGACGTTTCATCGCACAATTTCATCGATTGTAAAATAAACAACACGAAAATCGTTCGATTAAATGGTTCATGCGACATGGATTTTGACTATAACATTTTCACATCGTCAGTATGGAAATCGAATCTTGGCGGATTGATACCGTGCATTTTGGCTATTTTGTCCGTTGGCGAAGCAATACAGCGTTTGGGACGAGCACCAGTTGCATCATGCTGTTTTACAATTGCCATGATTTTGTGTGTTATATTGGGCTTTGTAGTTAAAGATGAGATTGTCATTTGGATTGGCGGTTGTGCGCAAGGTAAGAATAATTCTTGAAAATATCATCAAATCCATCAAATTCGGAACTATATCATTGAAATTTCTTTTATTTTAAAGGTTTTGTCCTAGCTGGTCTTACCACATTGACGCTGTTCGTTTGTGAAACATATACCACATCAATAAGGTAAAAAAAAGATCGTTCATTTCAGTGAGAAAAAGTCATTCAATTGTCTGTTGTGTTCACAGGTGCACAGCTCTCGGAGTTTTCGTATGCTTTGGCCAGATTGGTGCATTACTAGGATCAGCACTTTACGTTCACTTGCCGCTTACATCCACTAAAGTTGCCGCCACAATATCAACTATTTTCATGACAATACCATTCATTTCGTCGATGATCTTGAAGGATCCATGTCTTCTTGTTTAAATAAATTTACTGTCCATTTTGCATATTGAATTCCAGCGTAACATGGCTGGCACAATTCAATTTATTACTGATTTTATCGATACAACAGCGACAAACAGTCAAATATCAAATGCACACTCACACATCACTTTTAATCCTTCACTCGCTCAGGAAACACGCCATTCGATAATATCTCGAACATTTCCCCCTACCCCCTAAACATAGTATAACAATAAAAAGGAGATGTAAGAAAAAAACACAGCATTTTCACGCCAATCACGCCTACATTAATAGTATCGCCGTGTTATCTGCTCAAACATACATATTACCAATTTTCAACAGCACCACAAAACTTATTGCAAATGATGATGTCTTTTCCCCGTTCACTAACAACCTTAAACCGAATCAAATTCGCATTCGTTGTGAGTCATATATATTTTGAGATTGTTCTGTCTACGACGTAGTAGTTCAAAAACGTTGTACAATAGTCACATAAGCAATGGCAGAATGCAGACTGTTCTTTTTTTTCGTTTCAAAACAATGCGCATCTTTCGTTTGAAATATCTTGTTATCGTGTATGCGATTTTAAATGGAAAATGGAAATGAAAATTGGGTACATCTTAAAACGTTGCACCATTATTTGCTATCCATATTCGCTTTGATACAAACGCATCTAATGTCTGTGGAGAAAATAGAGATTGTTGACTATGCACGTTTTCGAAAACTTAGAAAAGATATGATTGCGAAAATATTCAATTGGCAATGTCAATGTTCATAAACAAAATGGAAATTAAACGAAATTAAATCTTTTATGCAAAGTGTTTAGCGTGTTGTGAACCGTTTAAATTCTCTATACCTGTTAAATCAAATCAATTCTTCATCGTTTGACAGTTCAACATAACCAGGGTAAATTTGTTTTTTAAGCAACTTCAAAATCGAAACGAATTTTTCTCTGTACACTTTACATTGTGTTTAATTTTGAATCCCTCCATTATTACGATTTGACCAATATTAATTATTATTGATTGTGTCCAAGCAAAAATTACAACTCCAAAACCAACCAAATGTGGTCAAATTAAGATTTACTATCGATTTACCTTTTATTTACGATTATTTTTTCTTACAAAATATGATTTTCAAATGATGAGGTTTTCTTATTCGTACATTCATTGTATTCAATAAAAAAAAACAATAAAGTCGAAGAAATATTTGAAGTATTGTGTTCTCATTTGATTCCGGATTAGTACTTTTCAGTGCCTTGATATTGGTGGTGAAGAAAGAAAGGTAAACAAGTTGTTAGTATATTTAAAGGTGTCAACGTCCAGAGTCCTCGAAAATTGTGTTACGGACGGACGGGGCTCGATGACATAACTTCCCGGGCAAGCGGGTAACCCGCTAGTGGAAACAGACAGAGAAGCTTATATAACAGACTCCGAGAGAGATTTTTATTTTGTTCATTTACCGTTATTTGTC